TCATTGGACATTGAATTATGTGCCGTTTGCCGTTGACGTCCAAATTGAGTGGCTGGCTGGCGTGACAAGGACGAATCTGTATGTAAACCAAGCCGATCTACTGCAGAGGGCGGAAAGGGCTTGCCTTGGCCTTGGGGGCGAAAGCGAGAGCTTCCACCAGACAGACTACGAAATACTAGCTTTGAAATTCTTCCTTCACCGTCATGATCGCTGATGGAGTCGTCTCCATTCAACTTTACCCAGATAGGCATCAATTTGGGGATTCGTGCAGCGGCAACAACCGACCTTACCGGGTTCTCAGAAGACTGTTTCCCTCATGGCCGGATCTGACAGGAGTCTCATGGTCCCCAGATGCGACCTGCATTGGGCGTTTGCTCCCTGAGACCCAAAACGCCAAGTAAATGCAAGTGGCCTACCCGAGCTGCCGCCCCAATGGTGTAAGTACCTGCATGATGCTACAACCTGGGGATGACTCGGGGGACGGGAGCTTTGTGTGTCGTCGCTTCTCACGACTGACTCTTGCCTGCTCCCTTCCTGTTGCCAATTGTTGCCTCGTACCCAGGCCGGATCGGCATCGCAAGCTCCAACTCTCACCAGATAGTCGAGGATGACTCCTTCACTAGACCGGCAGCTAAGTGCTTCTCTTTCATCATGTCATGAGGGGGAGTGCATACTGTTACGGGGCCACTGATCATCTCCATACCGTGCCCTGAATCCATTTCAATCCACGGTATACACGCAAGCAAGCAGGTTGATGGATCGTCTTGAGAGGGAAAGGGATTGACACTTGGCCACGCACTGCCTAATCCGCAACTAATTACATAACAAAAACTCCGTCATGGCCCTCCGGAAGCACCCCCTTCATCAAACCATTGTTCAATTCAGGCGCCGGGCCCTCGTCCTAGCAGTCTGACGTTTGCCTGACTGGAAACTAGGCCCGGAGCAACCATCATGGCTGTGCTGGGCCGGTTGTGATCTTGTGTCGTCGCTGACGCGGATACTGAGCACCGAGCCCCGGGACGACCCACGGCAGCTTCTAGCTCTAGATGCTGGATTTGGAACACGAGCACGCAAACGGAGGAAAAGAAAGCTCAGACAGTCGTTTCCACACCCGCTTAGCAAGCGCCGTGGGTCAGAGGCAGCAGCCGGCGCATTAATTGTCGTAATTGAGCCTGTTTGGTCTCCGATATAGGGAAGCTTGGCTTTGACCCGGTCCACTTGCATCCATCATCCCCAAGGCCGGCCGATATAAGTCGTCCCCCTCTCTCCCACCCTCACTCACGTCTCTGTAGATCTTGTTAGGTAGCACCATTCATATACATCTAATCGAAAACATTTACCCAAGCCATCCACTGTCCCGTTCTGCCATCCAGCTTCCTCATTCGTATTTGATATGGAAGGAACACCGAAATCTTCTGCCCAGGACGACCCAGACCCTTACCCCGATCCTTTCCCCGACACCAACATCAGGAGCACAGCCGCCGAAAGCCAAGATGGAAGCGCTCCGTCGACCGACACCCCTCCAAGCCCCCAGACAGCCGAGGCCATCGCGGCCGTGAAGAAGGAAAAGGCCCGTGTGCGGTTCAACAGCACAGCCGCAGCAAACAAGCCGCCGACCATCATCATCCCCACGAGCTCAACCCTCCAGGAGCCAGAGCCGCGGGAAGTGCCCGTCGTAATAAGACCACCAAGACCTTCCATCCTTCGTGGTAGCTCATACACCTCCAACACCAGCGGGCAGGACCACGACGAATCAATGGACGAGAGAAGTGAGGAGGCCATCCAGGCCGCGCTGGCGCAGGCTCGCGCGAATCGGGTGGCGGAAAAGGTCCGAAGAGACTCGCTTACACCATCCTCCCGCACCTCACTGGAGTCTCGCCCTGGAACGGCGATGACTGACAGTTCTGGGCCCCTCCTTTATGAGGGCATCCCACTCCAGAACCTAACGCAATCCCAGGGAACCAGCGAAGGAGGGGACAGCCAGACCGCCGTGGGAGCGGATGAGGCGCATGAGCATCTGCAGCGCGAGGCCTTCAACCTCGTTCGAGCGCATACTCAGGTGATCCGAGGGCGGGCCACTGATGAACCGGCGGGCGAATCTGCTGTTGTTGACAGCACCACCATCATCCCAAGCGAGGTTCACGATGGGTCTTACGACGGCGTGTATAACGTGCCGGTGCCTGAACACTACCGTGGCAGCGTCCTGTCCCAGCTTCTAAAGCTCTATAAGCCCGCCGAGGGCGGCATGAGCTCGCACAAGCGCCATTCGAGCACTGGGACCGGGGGATCCAACTCCGGAGCAACGACGCCCACGCGTAGAAAGTGGTACGAACAGAACCGCTCCCAGGATACTCTGGCCAACCTGATTGAAGCCTCAACACGGCTCGCCAACCCCAACCTACCAACAGCGTCCGAATCTCCCAAGTTGGGGCCCTTCGATAAGAAACGGCACAAGCGTAATGGCAGCAGCTCGAGGCTGAGCCAGTACTGGCAGAAGGAGGAGGCGCGCATCACGGTGCACATCGCAGAGACTCTCGCCCGGCAAGACTACATTGTCAAGCTCTGCCGCGCCCTGATGCTCTTCGGGGCGCCGACGCACCGCCTGGAGGAGTACCTGAGCATGACGGCGCGCGTGCTCGAGATTGACGGCCAGTTCCTGTACCTCCCGGGCTGCATGATCATCTCCTTCGACGACAGGTCAACCCACACCACGGAAGTGCGCATCGTCCGCACAGCGCAGGGCATCGACCTGGGGAAGCTAAAGGACGTCCACCAGATTTACAAGGAGGTGATGCACGACGTGATCGGCGTCGAGGAAGGCACCAAGAGGCTCGAGGAGCGCATCAATGCCAAGGACAAGTTCCCTGCCTGGTTCCGCGTCTTGATCTTTGGCTTCACGAGCGCCGTTGCGGCACCCTTCTCTTTCAAGGCGCGCTTCATCGACCTACCTCTGTGTTTCTTCTTTGGCTGCCTTGTCGGGCTGCTGCAGCTCATCGTGGCGCCCAAGTCTAACCTCTACAACAACGTGTTTGAAGTCAGTGCGACCGTTCTGGTCAGTTTCCTGGCCAGAGCTTTCGGCAGTATCAAGAATGGGGAGCTGTTTTGCTTCTCGTCTCTGGCTCAGGGAGGAATCGTGATGCTTCTGCCGGGATATGCAGTCTGTAAGTGTTGATCCTCTCGCCTGGTCTACTATGCTTCTTGGTTCCTAACACGATACAGTGTGCTCGTCACTCGAGCTACAGTCTCGCGCACTCGTCCCTGGGTCAATTCGAATCGTCTACGCAATCATCTATTCTCTGCTGCTAGGATTCGGCATTACGGTCGGCGCAGCCCTCTACGGTCTCGTTGATACCAACGCGACCTCCGCGACAACATGTACAGATCCAATGGATTCATACCTCACGTTTGTGTTCGTGCCGTTATTCGTCGTCTGTATATGCATCCTCTACCAGGCCAAATGGCGCCAGATGCCGATCACAATCGTCATCTCGTTCGCAGGGTACGTCGTCAATTACTTCAGCAGCATCAGGTTCGCGGCGAGCCCCCAGGTGTCCAGCACCCTTGGCGCGTTCGCAGTCGGCGTCTTGGCAAATTTGTATTCTCGAATCCGACACGGCGTGGCCGCCGCCATCCTCATTCCTGCAGTGTTCTGTCAGGTGCCGGGAGGTCTGGCGTCAACGGGAGGCTTGTTGAGCGGGCTGAAAACAGCCAACATGCTGACCAACTCGTCCCAAACGGTGAACTCGACCAGCTCGGTGCAGATATCGGACGGGCAGTCGCTCAATACGGTGTCGTTTGACGTCGCCGCGTCCATGATTCAGATCGCAATCGGCATCGCGGTTGGCTTGTTTATCAGCGCGCTCGTCATATATCCGTTCGGGAAGCGTCGCAGCGGTTTATTCAGTTTCTAAGGGATTCGCGTATTATTAGCGGGCAGCTTCATCTGGTTCTTAATTGTTGTACTTGGTTTAAGCGTTTGATTTAACATTGGTCGCGTCTCGTCTTTGGGTTGTATTTCGAGCATTGCATCACACCTGGGAGCTATCACGTGACAGCACTCAGACATAGCGTTGGTTTATTGGTTGGCGTTTTGGCACTATGTCGTTTTCGGCATTTCAGATACATAACTTTGTGCATAAATGTTAATGCCTGCATAAAGTAATTATACAGCGAAAACTACGTGTATTGTGAAAACTTGAAAGCAATGCCCCAAAATCAATTGTCATTCTTTAAACTAAGCAGTGATTAGGTATGTATATATATATATATAGGTAGTCTGAGCTGGGATTCTAGATTGAGTTAGAAGCTGAGCTATAGCTCTCTGAGCTTACATGTTATTCTTCTGAGCAGCTTTAGATCAAAGTCCTCGTGAAAGCTCTCCAGGTTCTGCTATGCAGCACGAAGACTATATGATCTTGAGACGGTGAAACTGGCCTAATGATTTACATGTACCTCTCGGGAATGTTAACAAATGCTGAGTAATCTCCGCAACCTTGGAAAAGGAAAGGGTTTTAGTATTGTTGCCGTCGGCCATCACCAACCGCCAACGAATGCCACCTACACCGAAACACGCAAAGCACCCAACCACAACAATAATAAAAAGGAAGACAAAAAGAACGTTCAGAGGCCTCGAACATGTGACCAGTGGGCAATTCGCCTTTTACGACTCGAACCCAACCCGTATGATATACGTAGCTCGGGCTGTGGCATTACCAAATGGGCCAGATTTCATTGTGCCTGTTATGTTACCTGCAGGGGACCATATCTTGGGCTATAAGGCACCGAGAAAGGGGGCACAATGGCAAGGGGACCATAGAAACATTGCGAATCAATATTTATTCCTCTACCTCTCTATCTTGCGATGAAGAATTACCTCTTCTACATCATCCTGGTCTACTTCGGTCTCCTCCTCGCTCCTTAATGAGTTGATAGTCGGCAAATTCAAGCGACTTGGAAACGCCAAAAGTTAGTTAGCCCTTGAGGCTTTTTTCCACGCTCTGCTACTCATTGACAGGCTCTTCACCATCAGAGTTCACGTCGTTACTGAGGTCCAGATTCTGCTCATCTGGCCCAAACAAAAGTTGTAATGGTAGGGTACAGGCAGCTTCTCTCATAGCAGGCTTCAGAAAACAGTATTTCTGAGGGGCGCCTTTCAGCCACCCCTTAATCTTGAGGCCATTGAGGGAGTAAGATTTTGGCAGCTGTTCAAGTTTCAAGATTTCGTATGCATACTTGGCACAGCCTTCCAGATCGCCACGATCAAACTCGTCATTGCTTTGCCCATCAGGATTACAAATCTCTCCAGGGCGCTTCCCGTGACTGATAGTTGCGATATATCGGATAGATGAGAGGGGACTGGTTTCGTATATCCAAAGTCGCTTGACTGAAGCAGGAAGCAGGTAATTACGGAACTCATGGTTCTTTACCCGACTGACAATGTCGGCGACGTACTTTGGGTGTATAGATATGATGATATCTCGACGGTCTTCCATTGTGGCGTGATTGTATAGACTCGCTTGAGATTGCTGATAGTTCGGAGTCAATATGACATCGGAAGAACAAGGGTTTCGTGTATCAAGCTGACGCGAGGCGGAGAGACAAGGCAACCAAACCTCAGGCACTTAACTTTCAGGTATCAACTATAACTAAGCCGAAGTTGAGCCGACAAAACATTTCTGAGAGAATCACTCTGGAAATAGAAGATCATTGCGTTTTCAAAGTGTTGCACTACCCAGGTTGGGACATTCTAGCGTTTGACAAACATAGCTATCCTGTACACGCTCATCAAACATTGACCATGCTTCCTATTTGGCACCAATTTATCTTCATCGAACCTTTTAATGGCTGAGCTGCAACTTCAAATATTTTAGGTTTCTATGATAACCTCTTATTCGTCGAGTTCAGTTGCCTGCTGCTCCAAAGATGGCAAGCGATCCTTGCTTGGCAGTTCGAGGCGGGATCAACCGGAATTCACAACAGTGTTCACTATGCAGACCCATTGATAATATGACCATAAATGAAAACATTGAAAATAATCTAATTCAAACGCCTATTGATCAACAAGAAAAAAAGCGGTAATAAAATTTGAGACGCAAAATCCGTGGCAAGAACCATCATCCCATCGCTTCCTTCTTGTAATTCCAGAGATGTAGGCCAACAGCGGAACAATTGAATAGGGTTTAAAAGAAAAAAAGAAAAAAAAAGAAAAGAAAGAAGAAGAATGTCACTCAGTTGGCAAGCTAAGCGGAGGTGACGGCCTTTTTGCAGTCACCCTGACCCTTGAATAGTTTTCCATTCCGGCAAGCGCTTTCTGTGGCCAATGTTAAAATAATGGACTGAATGGATTCATGCTCCGATCTCTATACTTACGGCTGACTCTTCCGCAACTGACTATTGCAGCGGAAACGCCTGCACAGCCCATTCTCGCGGGTCGAGTGCACTGGTCATATTTCTTCTTATCACAGGCCTCAACCATCATGATTAGGCCGATCGAGGTGATAATTGTCAGAAAATAAATCTTCATCTTGGCGGGCTTGTCGATAATTTGGCAGTGGCAGTAATGATGATCTTATTCAACCAAATAGTCGTTGATGTCCGTGATAATCTTATAGAAGTGTAGTAGAGTGATTTGACGCAATTGCAATATTGACGTTCTACGAAAAGACAGGTTACCTCACTGCTTAAATATACTATACAATCTTAGGTTTTGGTTTTGTTCTTTATTTTAGCCAGTTCGTTTCTGGGCAGAGATTGGCGTTGAATCCGGGGGAAGAGGAATGACCCATGTCGAGTGTTGACGAATAGATTTGCCCTCCCTACGGTAGCCAGTTGGATCAAACACCATGCACCCCTTGAGACCGCTCGATCAGTGGTGCAATTGGATAGATGTGCTTGACACAAGGATGCCCCGCGCGGCAACGGCCAAGCCCGGCACCTAGGGTTGTTTGAGGATATGCCTGAACATCACATACAGGTAATTCTCCTTGCTCCATAGACCTCGATATCACGATATTATGGATCTTACTAAATTAATTCCCAATATGTTCTTAGGATTGCCTTATCGGTCTGTCGAGCTTGCTGAAGCCATCGCTTTTCGGTAAACATGACGTTGGTGAGTCCGCCAAGCGTTTGAAGATGTTTACACTAGGACGGCAACATAAATGCCCGGACAACAAGTTCATGTCCATCCAGTGGAATAGCAGATTGAATTAAACGTCCGGTGTAATTACTATTATTAACTACGTTTAAACCGTCATAACTCCTTCGCTGAAGAAAGACGTCACATCCAGAACAAATCCAGCAACGGAAGTCATCAGCTTTGTGCCTTGCTTGATGTCCCCCGTTCGGTCATGTCAAACCGATTTTCAGGAATGGAGCTCCAAGGGGAGGGGCATAATTGCGTTTCAGGATACAATTTGCATAGCTATCTGGCGACGGACCCGCGCGGCACGGTTGCGGGTGAATAAAGCATCTGCTATGGTCAACTACCGACTCACTCCATCTGATAGCCGACCAAAAATAATCGGATTCAGCTGTCTTGGACATACTTCCAAGGGATTTTAGCGAATCTCTAACACGGAACGCTCTGGCTTTCATACTTCTGGAGAATTGGATCCTCCGTCGCTGCATCAGACCACCTCCCCTTTGTTGGCATGGGTGGGACAGGGATCGAGGCTACTCTGGGTGAGTTTCATTTGGCCTCATATTGCCAATTTCTCTCCCCAGACCTTCATTATTAGTGGGACAGGTTTTCTTGGTGTCAATTGTGAACCTACTTGACAGCTGAAGTGCGCGCATTAGGGCTGCATCCATCTAGCCGTCAACACTTCATCAAAATATGTAAACCATCTACAAAACCTATATTTCCACCAGTCTATATAAATTCCGCCGGGAGCCTGTTTTCAGTCAGTATGAAACATCTTTGAAGCGCGGAGTGAAATGACAATGGCTTCTTGAATCTATCCAGCCGCGAGAAACGGTTTATCACATTGTAAAGAGATAGCCAAGGAGGGACTTAATTCTTTCTTTTCATCTCAGTTGCTTTTCTTGCCGATACATCCTTCTTCCCAAGCCATCAATCCGTGGATTTGTTTAGTGTGTGAGATTTTATTCATTCTGAATTGAACGAATGAGTGGTTGTAGTAAATTGATGGAGGGACTCTGCTGCATACTATTCATACTCGAGCTAGGCCAATCGCCTAGTTTCTACAGCTCTAAACGGAAATCGCACACTTTCTCAAACCTTTAAAAGCCATAACATGCCAAAGATATCCCAACCAATCCCGAAAGCGCCTATGTGTTCGTAAATTTACAAGCCACCATACGAAAATTTCCATTACATTCATATGTAACACCAACGCTATTAAGTCTTGATATGCCCCAAGGGGGCTATTTTAAACACTAAGGGGGGCGTTAGTGAACGGGATCAGTGAACGGGCCAGGATTCGAGTGGTAGAGCGTACGAAAACAGATAGGGAACGCGAGGGATATTCAAGTATAGAAAACGAGGAAGCCCTCTTCTCAGAGGTTCATATGGCTAATTCAATGGTTAGGACAAAGATGGCTGGGCTTAAGTGTCAAGAACAATATCGACAACATTGTCCGAGTGCCCATCTTCTTAGATTGGATTACGTTTTACTAAATCAAGCGGGCAAAAGATGTGAAGGAGTCAGATGCAAACATCTTTAGAAGATCTTAGAATTCAACGTTACAATCTGTTTGCATGAAGATCTGGTGTTGTACAGGGTTCGAATTTACTGTCCCTTTGAGATCCCAACTGCCTCCCTGTCCCACTATTTGATTGCAAGGAGATGAGTTACTGCAATCTGTACTAAGCACATACCCGTTACTGCATTGCAACCTCAATCGCTACATCTGGCCCTTGTAAACGCCGTGGCCCGTTGAGCTTATTTCTCGGAACATGTGCCACTCGCATGGCCTGATCGGTGATCACAAGCGAGCGAACCCCAATACGAGACCGATAACGAACGGACAGATCATGTCATCTCGGAAACGCCAAAATCGAGGGAAACGTGCGGAATATACGCGTATTTGAGGATTTCCTCCTCCAATAACGACGTATTGCGGCTAATACACGTATTTATCCCAGCCTGGGCCTTCGGTTTCGTTCACATATTCCCCAGACCAGATGTTTATAACCCGAGCGGCCCCTATGTAACCTAAGAATTTCTCTCCTATAGATAATCTTGATGCTCTAGAATTCAAGTATTTGGGCGCTGTAGTTATTGCTTTGACTGATTCCTTTTGGTCTGGCTCATTGCAGCAGCGATTATCATAATCATGGCAGCAGATCCTCAGCCCAAGCCCACAACCTCAGCTGGTAATTCTTTACTTTGTACGTCCTTTGAAAATACCACGTTCTGCTTTCTTCAAATTTCAAACAAGAATTTCACTAATTCGTCCACGTAAAACAGCTACCATCCGGGGCGATGACGATAAATCCAGCACGGGGGCCAAGGCGGACGAAGCTCTAAGCGACACAGACACAAACCCGCCGGCAGCAACAACGAAAACGAACGAAGCGCATGACAGCGCGCAGGCATCCTCGAGTCCGTCTCAAGAAAACCCGGATTTAGAAAAGGGACCCGAGAAAGAAACCGGCTCCGCAGACGACAAGGAAATTGAGGCAGCGCCAGTTGACGGCAATATTGTGTTTTGGGATGGACCTGATGATCCCGAGAACCCTCTCAATTGGCCAAACTGGGTGAAATGGAGCAACTGTGCTCTGATCAGTCTCCTCACCTTCGTCGAGCCTCTCGCCTCTTCCATCTTTGCGCCAGGAGTGCCCTTGGTATTGCAGGAATTCGGCACGACAAACACGGAGCTCGCCGCCTTCGTCGTCTCCGTATACGTCCTCGGCTTCGCCTTTGGGCCCATGGTGCTGGCTCCTCTCTCGGAAATGATTGGTCGCGTCCCCGTCTACCATGTCTGCAACGTCTTCTTCCTCGCCTTTACCATCGCCTGCGCCAAGGCCCCGTCCATGGGGGCGCTCATCGTCTTTCGCTTTCTTGCGGGTACATTTGGCGCCGCTCCCATGACGAACGGCGGTGGAAGTATCGCCGACATGTTCACTCCCGAGCAGCGGGCTGGTGTCATGGCTGTCTTCACCGTAGGTCCTCTGATCGGTCCCATCATTGGCCCCGTCATCGGAGGGTTCCTCACCGAGTCCAAGGGCTGGCGATGGGACTTTTGGCTCATCACCATTGTTGCAGGCGCCATTACCGTTGCCATGGCCGCTCTCATGCGCGAGAGCTACGCGCCCATTGTGCTGTCCCGCAAGGCGGCCCGCCTGAGAAAAGAAACCGGGAACCCCAATCTGCGTTCCAAGATGGATGGTGGGAGAACCAAGGCCGAGTTGTTCAAGCACTCTATTATACGGCCCTCCAAGATGCTGGTGTTTTCTCCCCTATGCGCGATCTTCGCTATTTATCTAGGCCTCTGCTATGGATATCTTTATCTTCTCTTTACCTCTGTCACCTTCGTATTTGAGAGCACCTATAAATTTTCCACGAATACCGTCGGCTTGGTGTATTTGGGTTTAGGTGTCGGCTGTATTATTGGCATGGTCATCTTTGCTTGGGATGCTCAAAGGGAGGTCAAACGCTCCATCGAAAATGGCGGCCTGAAGCCTGAGGTCCGGCTGAAGATCCTCCCATACGGTGCACTGATCTTCCCGGTTGGCTTCTTCATCTACGGCTGGACAGCGCATCATGTGACGCACTGGATAGGCCCCATCATAGGCCTGGTCATCATCGGTATTGGTAAGCCAGAGAAACCTCAAAGAATCACTTCACTCAGGTCGTCTGAATAGGGCTAACCCTCTCTCAAGCTAATCTCATATGCTTCATGACAATTTGCGTCTACCTTGTTGACTCTTTCGAAACATACTCGGCCTCCGCTCTTGCATCGAACACCATCATTCGATCGTTTGCAGGTGCCCTTCTTCCACTCTGTGGGCTCAAGATGTACGACAAACTTGGATTGGGATGGGGAAACACAATGCTTGGTTTGATTGCCGTCCCTCTGATTCCGGTCTCATTTTTTATCAAACGATATGGCGAGAAGCTCCGTACCAAGTACGAAATCAAGGACTTGTAAGAGCTTAAGGCCATTTTACACTAGACGCGGCACTTGTATATATAGCCACTGTCCATCCTATCAATTCGCGTCGTTGTTTATCGGGTATATAGACAACTAGATTATAGATTCTTCTAATTTCCAAACACATGCATCATTGTTCGATCATGGCGAGGGTTCATCAGTCTTCAAATGGCCTGCATTCATTGAATTTTCCATGATGAGATGGCTGTGAAATTCAGTAAGAGATTCTTTCATATTCAACCACATGACTGCCTGGATATCCTCCTACAGCCAACGCTCTAGTACGCTTTCTGTTCAAAGTCCATCTCCTCTCGCCCCTCGTCCAACATGTTCAATTTCGATCAGAAGTATCCTCAATATGATTGACTTCAGGTTATAAATTGTTGCCTTATTACCCTCGTCTATTTTCAAAATTGATGTTCGATGTCTGGCTGGTGTCAAGCTGCTTGGGAGAGGCACCTACCCTGTAGCTTGCTCAGTCTAGAAGGGATCCAATGTTGCTGTCGCCGCCTCATTAAAAAGACGGTATTTAGAATTGCTAAGAGAATAGATATGCATTTGGGGCCTTTATTGTTCTTACCTTTGCGAGGTAAAGTAATGAATTTACTCTTGGATGTCTAGAATCTGGTAATGTGGTGCGCGTAAGCAGCTGAAGTTGCATCCGATCTGAGCACCGTGAGCTTGGCTGCAAACGCATAAAGTTTCCAAGCGAAGTGCGCTGTCGTTACAGGTGGGTTTAGTGGATATCCAGTGGACCATAGCGGGTATTCTCCACCAGGTAGCATTAAACGATTCACTCAGATCGCTGATGTGGTTCAAATAAGCGCTGGGCGGCCTTCTTCCAGGCATGTGACTGAGCTCGCATGAGGCGAATGAACCACAACCCAAACGCCAGCGAAAAGAAGGCGAGAGAAAAGGGAAATTAAAAATAAGGTTAATGGACACAAATGAGGGGTACTGGCCCTTCGGAAAATTTGGTAGGCCTTCGTTGAATCTGGCGGGAAAGCCCGGAAGGATCGGATGCGACCATGCTGATCTTTCCCAGGAGCTGGGCTGCTCCCGCTGCAGGGCAATTTACGTGCCACATACCGAATCTACGGATCAAGTTTTTCAAAGAAAGATCTGAGTATTTCTGGGACCGGGCAGATAATCGAAATGCGGCCGCTGCAGTCTCGGGTAAATAGGTGGTCATGCATGCGACAACATCAATTCTCATAAGGTTGCGTGGGTGAAACGGTGCACACTGTCACCCTGCGCCCACTCCGGTTCTGGTCCCATCAGCCCGACCATCCACAAGAAATCAACGGTGGTGTTGCTTCTTATCGCTCTCCCCCATGCGATAAAAATATCCTCGAATGGAAGAACCAGGCCTTCCCACCCTTCGATTTGGCTGAAATGCGACGTACAGGAGCTGGTTGAGAGGATTCATGGCCTCAGCAATCCCGTAAGTGGAAGCTTCGGAACCAGTGGCCCCGGATCTAGAGTCAGTCTCGTCCTGGGCTTCTCGAGAGCTGGAAGCGGTCCAGTAATTGGCCTTGAAGCTCATACCGAGTAGGAAATGCCTTCATATCCATGCGACGGAAGGGCAGGCTGATAGCAACTGCCGAAGCAGGTTCATTGCCAGCCGAACAACCATCACTCAATGTTTCCACCAATCCGTCGCGGCAAGTGGCGTGTTCTATTGACGAGGAGATATCTCCACGAATCGCCGCAGAGTTCTCTTAAAGTCGCATCGGGGGAAAAGGAATTGAGCTTCTGAAGACTCAGGTCCCATCGAGCTCGCATTCTGCCGCCGCAGTTGGGATGCTCAGGTTGATTGCCGCATTTGCATGTATAAATGAATGGCGTCTGCTCCCCATCTGAATCAGAGGGGCTTCGGATCAAAGTGAATGATTAACGTGAGCTCTCTCCAACCGAGCAACAATGCGTCTTTTTGGAATCCTCGCCGTACTGGTGTCTCTTGCATCATGCTTTACCAATCCAATCCGTCGGCCTACAGGCTCCGACCCGTTCATCACTTGGTCCGGAGACGGGTATTATTACCTGTTGACGACCACATGGACCACCGTTGAGATTGCTCGGGCTACGACCATCGATGGCCTCAAGTCTGCCTCCCGGAAGGTCATTTACCAGTCCTTAGAGTCGTCGCGATGCTGCAACGTCTGGGCGCCCGAGGTTCACTGGCTCGGCGACAGGTGGTATGTCTACTTCACGGCGGGCAACGGCAACAACCTCGACGGGCAGCGTATGCACGTTCTGCGTGGAGGAACGACACCCTGGGACTCTTACACGTACGTCGGGAGGATTGGCCCAGATCAGTGGAACATCGACGGGTCGATCCTACGGACCAGCGGCTTCGGGAATTTCTTCGTCTCCAGCTGCTTCAACGGCGCAACCTACCAGTCCATCTGCATCCAAGCCCTCGGCAGCGACTACGTGTCGACGACGACCGGGTCGGTATCGCTCATCTCACAACCGACCCAATCATGGGAGAGGGTGTCGCATCCAGTCAACGAGGGCCCGGCAGCCTTGTACTTTGGCGGCAAGACCTACCTGGGGTACTCGGCCTCGTACTGCTGGTCGGGGAGCTACTGCGTCGGCCTGCTGACATGGGACGGGGTGACAAACCCGACGAGCGCGGGAGCGTGGACCAAGAGCAGCGGATGCGTGCTGAGCTCGGCCAACAGCAACTATGGCACCGGGCACAACAGCTTCTTCCAGAGTCCCAATGGCCAAGAGACGTGGATGGCGTTTCACGCTACGTCCACGTCCGGCGGAGCCTGCGACGATACTCGCTACACCATGGTGCAGCCTCTCAGCGCCAACAGCAATGGGAGCCCCAACTTCGGAACGCCTGCATCCTTCTCGACATCGTTCAACGAGCCGAGCAAATGAGGACCGGCGGCGGCGTGCGGCGGTGGCGGGGGTTATCGATGCAGAGGTGCATCCTGTCGTGGTTGGTGTGTCATGCGATGTGGGAGATGTGGGAGGGGAGGTTCAGCGAGCCATGTAGCGCAGACGAGGAAGTCGTAATACCAGCAGATAATAGGTCTGTCTGGCAAGTGGGAAATGAGTACATACATGCAATGCAGAGCGAAGGCCGGGGGGTGTGTGGAGGTGGAGGAGAGGAAGAGAGCAGATGCTGCTGTTTTTGCTTTTTCCTCGCCCGTTTCTTCTTCTGCTTTGTCACGATGCTGCACTGCTTTAGCTCTGGGGCTGTGATTGCTCGTCCTGAAAAAGGCATCCACGCACAGTACGAACGTGGTGACCCTTGCACTTTGATTTGATGGACCCTCTCTGCTGATCTCGATGTTCGTGCTGCTGATGCTCGTTTAGAGGGCGGATGGGTCGGCGATGCAGAAGCTGTAACGCCCCCACCCTCAGATGCAACACGTGTACGCACAGTCTGAACAGTGCGAGCCCTTGTCCAGTGCTTCCTAGCAAGGGCAATATGCAGCAGCGCAGCAGAGGAAACAAGGTTGGCCGTATCGAGGTGAAGCTCATGCATGCGCTGGGCCAGGGATGGATTAGTCCGGACCAGCGTGGCCAGGTTACACACATTGCGTGCGATTTTCTGCAGGCTCCCTCGTCTAACCGTTAATACGCCCATGGGGGGGGGAGGGGATCGGAGGATCGTGTGCTGTGATAGGAGGCAGAGGGTGAGAGGGGACCGAGCGAGGACCGAGCGAGCAGGGGCCCGACGAGGAAAAAGAAAAGAAAGAAGCAATAAATCGCCTGCGGAATGGGGCAGTTGGGGAGTTGAGATGTGACGGTGCGCATGCACGCGAAAGGCAAATCTGGCAGCCAAGGCAGCTCAAGCAAGGGCGACCCGGCATAATTCATGGACGTGCCGATCGTCGACCTACCTGAGAATGAATTGCAACTGTGTATGAGCGTAGATAGGCAGATGGGCGTCGGTAGCAGGCAAGCTGGGAGCCAGGTAGGTGCATGCAGAGGCGGCTTGGTTTCATGCACCGGCCTCATCTCCATCAATTGTCACGGGTTTGGCGATCGATCAATTAAAGTCGAATCAAGCAGAGAGACGTGCATGGTCGTATCCCCACCCCCCGTCAGCGGTGGTGGCCGGCCGTCGCTGGCTGGGCGAGGTGCGTTGTGCTCTGCTGCTGTGCGTGCTGGGAGAATACTACAACATCCAAGGGGGAGGAGGGAGGGTTGTGCTGGGAGGTGAGACAACAAGACAGAGTCAAGGAGAAAAGAGGGGCCGGCAAGGCACAGAACTCGGCCTGGGCCGGCCGTGAGGAAGGGACGGTCGGTGGCCACACACGTCGCAGCGAAGGAGCACCCAGGCGACGAGCCTTTGCCGTGCCTGCCCGAGACGTGCCCAGGCGCGCCATCGCAGAGCCCGCGATAGGAGATAGGCGGGAAAGCGCAGTGTTTGAGCTCCTGCACAAAATATCTGTTATCTTGCAAGTGTTCGCACGGCAGCACCCGCTAGGCCCGATGTGGCCAGCACGGCTCCACCCAGCTGGATGCCTGAGATGTCGGGTGGCCAATCACACGCCGCCGAGCCCTTCCCCGCGCCTGGAATCCCATCACAAGGCACTAAAAAACCAGCGTGATGCCATTTTCCGAGCTGACACCCTCCAGGTCTCCTCTGCTCAGCCCAGCACCGCACCACAACGCACGCACAGCACGCACCAGCACCGCACGCCCACCAAGCACCACCAGCAGCGACGTCCAAGCACATTGGATCCCATCCGCAACACTGCGCTGCGCTTCGCCTGCCCGAGGCTACCATCCATCCCCATCCCACCCCCAGATCCATCTTAGCTCTTCCATCATCTAGGGACCGCCCGTTCCGTCTTGCTGCCGGGCCCAGTCTTTCCCTTCTTTGTCTGCTCTGCTCGGCTCAGCTCAGTGCTTTATCTATAGTCTTGACCGAGTCGCCAGGCTTGCGTCCTCGCTCTCTTGCCCACCGCGGCCCTCTCCCATCCCAATTACCATAACTGAACTGGCCCTCTACGCCCTGAGCCCTCTGCCACCTCTGTCTGTGCCTGAGTGAGCTCACCGTCCACCCTGCCCCCCGCCAGTGCGCGCGCGTGCAAGGCTAGATGATGCTTCAATGGACAACCAGGCCGGAGAGCAGAAGCCGAAGCAGCGTCGCGTGGCCGACCGTGAACGCAAGCGCGCTGTAAGAGCGTGAGTTGTGCCTCTCTCTTTTGTCCTCTGCCACCTTCACTCTTCCTTTGGCCCTGCTGGTTGTCATATGATGCGACGGCTATGCTATATGCCATGCCATGCCACCCTTCAGCCGCCCCTCCTTCCGTCCACCCATCTCCGTCTCTGCCGACGAGCCCATTCCGGCTGCCCACCACGGGGGCAGATCGGCATCCTATGTGACCGACGGAGAACTGACTCTAGATCTTCTACTAGGTGCGATGGCTGTCGTCGCCAAAAGGAAAAGTGCGATGGAGGCGTCCCGTGTCGGCGCTGCATTCGTCTCCGGAGACAATGCGAGTTCCACGGACCGACCATTCGCCAGGCTATCCCGGGTCTCGAGCCCGGCATTAGGTGAGTGCGAGGCAATTGCGAAGCGGACAGTGCCATACGCAATGTCCAGACTCCCCTTCTTTCTCTGACTGGTCGTCCTCTCTCCCAGGCCGCAAGTTCAACCCCATGACAATGCGGACGCATCTCAACGACTAGCTTATATGGAGAAGCTGCTCGCCCACTATGTCGGCAATGATGTTTCTATGGACACGGACAACCTCCGTGGGCTGGTCGAGGCAATTGAGAAAGACCAGAAGATGGATATCGTCGACCACCAGCCGGCGTCACCAGGCACTGATTATCTCGAAAACGAGGATGGCAACGTGGATGAAGTCTTCACTGTCAAGGCCCTCGGGAACAACATCACTCGTAAGCTCCTCTTCCTCCCAATAGGAATAAACCTGGCCAGTTTTAGTCTTACTTACCATTATCTGCAGACTATTCGGGCGAATTCTCCCATTGGAACTTCTCCATGAGAATCAAGGAGTGGATTGAGCAATGCATCCCTGAGCACCGCAACGTATGAACCCCGACCCTCACCGTGACCTGCCCCCTCGTCTTTACGTCTTTCTTACTCTTGATGCTCTTTAGGAGAACGGCGAAGTCCCCAATTTCAAAGAATACTACCGTGCGGAGGAGCTGCAGTCGCCCTCTGGAATGATATCGGCGATTGGCGCCCTCCCCCCTCGTTATGTCGCCGACTTCCTGGTGCAGGCATTCTTCAAGCACGCCGAGACAAACTACTTCTACGTCGAAAAGGGCTGGCTTTTGGAGAAGCTAGAGATTGCGTACGAGCACCCCTCCGCCTTCACGCGACGGGACGTCGGCACAGTATGCATTATTTTCATCGTCCTTGCCATCGGCACACAATACGCCTACCTCGATTCTCTCACTGAAAACGGTGGCGACCAGACCCAAGGAGGGTCCACCGGCCCATTCTCCGAGGATGCGATCGGTGTCATGTTCTACCAACAGGCGTGCAAACTTGTTCCAGATGTCATCACCCTCTCGTCGCTTGAGAGTGTCCAGGCCTGCCTTCTCATCGGCATCTACACCCTCCCCCTCGACGCCTCTGGGTTATCTTACATTTATCTCAATCTCGCTGTCAAGCTGGCCGTACAAAACGGAATGCACAGAAAGTACCCCAACGAGGGTCTGGACCCAGTTGTCCATGAAACGCGCAACCGTGTGTGGTGGACCGCGTACACGACTGAACGGTTTGTGCCCATCTCCCAGATGTCCCCATATTACCATACTGACAACTTTGCTTAGGCGTGTTGGTATTTTCCATGGCCGGCCGACTTCTATCTCTGGAGCGGACGTTGATACCGAAATGCCCATCGAGCGGTCCGACATATGGCCGCAGCGGTCATCAGTCTACATCGCCGCCATGCTTGCGACATTGCAATTGCACCAGTTGCTGGCAAGAATATCGCAAGAGATGTGGGTGTTCGTCTCTTACTGCAAATCCTACGATGTCCTTATTGCTGACTGTAAATCAATAGATCCACACTCAAAGTCTCACCAAAGCAGAGCGCTGGAGACACCATGAGCCGGCTCGTTGAGCTGAAAAACGACCTTCACAAATGGTGGGGTGGCCTTCCCAATGAGGTCTTCTGCAAGAACCCCCCGCCACATGCAAAACCCAGCCGATCAGACATGCATCTGAAACTGGAGTGGTGCCTCGTGCGCATGTTTACCGGGCGACCGTTCATTTTTCTTCGCATGCCTTCACGGAGCAGCGCCAGCTCGTCGAGCTCACCCAATGATCTGCCTCATCGCGGCAGCTTCAGCAGCAGCACCCGGAAACTCGACTCCAAATCTATCCTTGTTGCCGACTGCGTCGAGGCCTCGCTCACCGTGATTGACACGTGCGAGCTCCTCCGGAATACCATCGGCCTCGCCCGCGCCTCTTACACCGAGTTCAGCGCCTGCCGCGCTGCCCTGCTCGTCATCATCACGCAATGCCTCCAAGAGAAGACGGAGAGATTACGACAATGCCTACGAGACGGGGTCTCAATGATTAAACTGATGTCCGCGGGAGGCGAGTCGGCGCGCTCCGAGGCGTCGCTCATTGAACTCTTTGAGCGGGCCATTGCTCGACTCGACGCCTCCTTTGACAACGTCGCATCCTCTTCCGAATCCGACTACGCGCGATTCAAGAAGTGGGAAATGCTCTGGAAGAATGACTCCCCTGGCACCGACACCAGGGGTGGACCGTCCGTGCCAGACACGCCTGCCCCCATCCCCCCACCTCTCAGCAACCTTTTCAGCGGAGCTGGGCCGTTTGATCGAAACACGGTGCCTGGAATGACACCATCAACGGCGGTGGACTGGAATTTCGCGTCATTCCCGCAGACGATGGACGAATTCTCATCCATGTTTGGCCACAGCGGTTTCGGACCCAGCCCTGGCGACATGACCAATCCCCACGGCCTCAATGGGGGCGGCCACGCCTGGATGGGTCCCTGAGTGGGCCGAGCATTGATTAATATTGGCAGGGAAGGCTGCTGCACCTGTCTGAGTGTCACGTCACCCTGCTCTCTCGCTGGGGCCACTCTGCCAAAAGTCGGTGGTGGTGGTGGGTGCACAGTCATGAGATGGTTGCGTGCCGCTAGTTGCTCGCTTGGCTGCAGAGCGTAGATTCGGCCAACTCAGACGGGTTGGAAGCGCGAGTCAGCTGGATGGGATAGATGATGACCTTCGGAAGCATACGAAACTCAATCGATGGGAGTCAATCAGATGATTTTTTTTCTTTACGGCGGTAGGAGTTCTTCGCAATCTGGAGCACTGGGAAAGCATTTGGATAAAGGAAAACAAAAAAAAATACCCAGCGATACTTTTACGGATGAATATTGCGACGCGCATCTACCGGGTTTTGTGCGCCGAGCTATTGGCGTCTGCATGGGGCTTGGGTTAATAGTGGCAGTGCGTCAAGCAAAGCCGCCAATTACCTGGGGAGACCTCGCTACGGCTCCCAATTCATCCCAAAGACCAAGCTCATCATCTCGGTAGTAGTCGTTCTCCGGGTCTCGCTGGCGGATAGATGGGATTAAAAAAGAAAAATACGCTATAAAGAGGAGGTGGGCATGGGAAGAAAGCGATGGAAATCGTGAGGAGTTCAGGAACAAGAATGCTGCCTGCAATCGTTTGTCATTGCAGCCCCTTCAAACCACATCAATGGATGAGCCTCGGAGTCTCGGGATCCTTGCATTTGCATCGAGGCACGTCGCAGCCAGCACAGCTTTTCCGCCGAGCGCCCCCCGTTCCGGGATCATTTGCGTGAAGCACGAATCGGTTCTTTTTATTTTTTATTTGGGAGGAGAAACAAAGTGTGCGGCATTGTGATGGATGAATTTTTACCAAGACTGAATTTTAATTGTTGATTTTTATCGCTGCGCTTACTTTTTACCTCGTTATCAGGGGGGGTCCGGACGGTAAGCGGGATGGAAATGTGGTCAACCTCATTTCATTAATATGAACCATCTCAATTGATGGGCCCTTTCAATATACTTCGCATCACAGCTCAAGTCCAAAGAAGGTGGGAGAGGAGCGAAGATGTCATCGAGTGCGGCGACCTGAATCTTCACGTCGCAGGTGATCCGGGTGGGAGATGAGTTCTCGCAATGACCCGGCATTATCCTTCACGTCGCACAAGCCCGTCCGGCGATGGCCTGTTTATCAAGAAGCATGTTTTCGCATCAAACAATGCTGATGGCATTATAGCGGTCCAGGAGACGCATCTGAACATGAGGCCACAAAACCTATCCCCCAGCCTCGGGCGTTGGGTGGATGATGTTAACTGAATGATCATTTTCTGTATTTCAATAGGCTTGCCTGTCTTTGTATATTTATAGCATACCTAACGGCTAACAGAACGGAATGAGCCGCCAGCTGCGGCTCCAAGAATACATTTTCATCTATGTATCCCCGTTCATCCATTCTTCTGTTGTCTCATCCCTTCGACGTGACCAGCCCTGGTGCTTTTATCCACACCCGTTATGTCGCTCTGTTGCAGCGTGTAAACAATATCGCCAAGTGAATTTATTGACTTGTGCTGGATTCCCCATGCTTGAAGCTTCGCTCCCATTATCTTTCTTCCTTTCTAACCCTATTGCTGGTTAACTACACTTTATGATTAGCCTACCAGGAGTCTAGATGGCAATTTGATTCATGACGGCTTCCTTGTGCGAAAGCATCGCAGTGGCGCTCAATTGCCTTCCTGCAATATTGATCACAGAGAAAGGTTGGAAGGAAGATAGTATTGGTTCATCCGTATCATCTGAACCGCTCCACGCATTCTCCGAAAGAATAATTTCCGGCCCGACAACTCTCCTTATCCCATGTGTATAGCATAGCTTCCTTCGACTAGCGAGACCCTCCAGTGTCCTTCCCCTTCTCACGACTTCATCAATAGCTAGCCGATGATCCCCAATATCCAATCTCTCCCAACCCTCGGACAGCCCATCGAGTCTTTGATTAATTCTCCTTTACCGCCCCGGCGTTACGACTCAGTGTGTGAAGGTGTGTCCTGATCACTGACGATATGTCAGGAGATTGTCGTCGCAGTACTTTTGAAGACCGGGAAGGGCAGAGAAAACATTGCTGCTGCAGCCTTTGGCCAGAGTTTGGATGGCAACGGCACCCAGATCAGCAACTTGGCGGATTGGTAGCGAGTCGGTAAAAAGGGGTGCACCAAGGCCGGCCCCTGCAAGAGACAGCCCAAGCAAAGCAACGCTCAGCTTCATGGTGAATAGATTGGTAAAAAGAAGTTAAGACGAGTTCTTCGGATGATGGGGAAGACTTTGAGGATCGAATCCATAGGAAGGCTTTGCCTCCTTTATAACACTATCACCGCCACCCTACAATAAAAGAAGATGTGTTGGCGGGTGAGGTGACTCTCCAACCGAAACGTGTCTCATTAGCGGCCGAAACAGTGATTTCCGCTCCGTGCTCGAGGTTCCGGTCTCATGATCTTAAGCGTGTCGTCCTAAGTGAGCTTGGTCTTCAGCGGGGGCTTCTTCCTCGAAATAACGCCCCTTCAGCGCCCTATACCCCGTTACTCTAATATTCGGTGGTTGTGGAAGATAATGAGCCCTCGCGATGCGCCGACGATACATCTAGCGCGCAAGGACATTGATCCTGATCATCTAAGACACTATAGATTTTTAGATCTGAGTTTCAAACTCTGGAATGATAAACACTATCATTGATTACGATGAGTTTGGTCGATGCCCTTCTAGATTGCTGCATCAAGGAATGGATATCGCCTTGGGGGAAATTAACGCATCCAGTATCCAAGTTACTCCATTACTTGTTCCTAATCTCATGATTAAGTTAGAATCTAAATAAATATGTAGTTATGGTAAAAGACTGGAGAATATGCGTGCCAGCTGAGGTTTGTCTCTCCAGGGCTTCGGCGTCGAGCCCATAATCCTCGAACCGCTATCGAAAACTTGTCCCACACTTCCAACTTTGAAACCTTGGTCAACTCTTCTAGGCATCTAATCATGCGTTGTTGCAGTTGGGGCTCATAGGCCTCGAAAGCAATGATGGCTATCGGCCACAGATTCGGCGACGATGGGCCATTGGTCGCCCCGAGCGCTTCAACGTGTTCCAAGCCTTGCTTGACCAGCGATTGAACCTCTTGAATAGGAACCGATTTCATAGTCCGTTTCAGGTAGAGCAGCGTGGCGTAGTAGTAAGCGTATCCTATATGGTAAATACGAAGACCGTGTTCAGGACTGGCGTGAGGGGATATTGACCTCTTTGGAACCATGAGGAAGAGCTCAAATTCGATAGAGTCGAGGTTGTAGTTGGAATGTATTTCTTGTTGACTGGGGTGATCCTCACTTGAACCGCGTCCCTTTTGAGAGCTTTGCTGAATGCGATTCATAGTATGAATCACCTCTAGGATGGGTTGTGGTATGCCCATTATCACGTCCAAGCAGTATGGTCCGGGCTGTGTCTCGAATGCGTGGCAAAGGTCCCAGCCATAGCCACTACGATCGCCCGGGAGGATTTGAGATTGGATTAATATTCCCATACCAATGAACATTTGATAAATGGTAGCCGCTGTCTCATCATGGTGCCAATATTCACGACCAACATGGTTCACCCATTCGACTGCGCCCTGGATATGTAAGCGCCAGAAAGGGTCGTAAACGGTGATGGCTTCGTTGAGAAGACACATGATAAGTGAAGCAAGAACTGCTATATATTGATTCTCATCATCAGACTGGATGTTCCGGCTCAAGTGTGTTATTCCAAGGTTCTGATGCTCGAGGGCTAGCCGCTCATATTTGTTTCTTGTTCCAGATGTTCCCTCTGCCCTGGCAAGATGGAATCCTGAGGAAGAGCAAATTAAATGAAACAAGGCAACAGCCCCGGTAGAAACGGTTGCATCCTCACGAGCTCCTTGAAGAGCCAAAGGTGTGAAAATCGTGCGAGCCGGGTTGCTGGCTCCTGATATTGGGTTCAAGGCATCGCATACATGAAGATCCCAGTGTTCCAAGAGTTTGGATCGACTTGCATGGTCCGATAGGCTGTCCAGGTGTCGTTGCCGACGCTCCAACGCAGCAGGGCCTCTTGAGGAAGGAGAATCGACTGCAGAATTAGACGAACACGAGCCCGGCTGCTGTGGAGGAGGGAGCCACGAGATATCCGTGTAAGGGTTGGATGATTCTGCGTTGGGTCTTGGGCTTGGATTTGGGGAAAGTGAGGTAACGTTTTGAGCCAAACTTTCAGTTTGGAATACAGGTGAATGGATTGCAGCACCATTGTTGGGTTGAAGGGTTGTCCTGTTCCATACGGCAGACAGGGAACCACGGACAGCATCCCATTGATTGGAACTTGCTGGTGACTCTACTGGATTTACCGGAGTCTCCACTTCGGGGCCGTCGATGCCAACCTGGAAACGAGACCCAACGCGTAGACTGTTCTGAGCAGTGTTCTCAAGCCCATCGTCTCCATCCGGCAGTCCTGCAGTAGATGATATTTCGGTTGACTCCTTTTCGTTGTGTGCAGAAGCGTAGCTAATTGGTCGAGGGCTTGGGGTACGCGATTTTCTCGTCGATTCCCTTCTTCCCGAGACCCTTGGGGATGATCTTTTGGGGGACTCCTGAAAATTTGTAAGATCCCGCTGGGATGACCAAGACAGTCGTACGCCGTAGCCCTCGCAGGTAATGCCGGACCGCTCACATCTTTTACAAGTGGGCTTCCCTTCATCGCATTTGATATGCTTGCTGCGGCATGTCCAGCAGCCGGAGAAGACCTTTTTGTGCCTCCTTCTAGTGGGCCTTGCTGTGGCTGGGGTCTGGGTCGGCTCGTCGTTCTCCATGGGGCGGGGCCTGTCCATATGTGGCGACCACAGACGTTCTACCACATCAAACTAGGAAGGGGACGTGTTGGGGGTTGATTTCAAATCCAATTACCCCATGCTGGCTGTGTGTGACGACAAGTTGTTGGCGACGGGGGATGCTTGATGTGAGGTTGGGCTAGTTCCGATGCATTTGATAATCATATTCCATGGTGACTGAGTAATTCTTTACACTAGACCTAATTAAGAATGTATGAACGAAAGTCTAATTCACGCCTTTCCCAATATGGTCTCTCATCACGAAATCGTAGACGACTGCTTGAAAGAGTCGGGAGGTCAAGATCTTGTGATTGCATGACCTGTTGAGCGTGGCCCCCCTCCTAGGAACTGTTACATGATCTCCCAGCTCCATAAATGTAGATTTATCCTTTCTCCTCTTTCTTTCTCACATCACATGCTGAGATGGATGCTCTGAAGCGAGCATATATTAGCAAGGCATGCCGCTGCGCGGGAGCTCATCGCCCGCATGTAAGAATCAAGTGTGTCGAAGCTCTGTATCCTTACCGATGGGGATGCTATCGATGTTAGGCAATGTGGCGCGGCCTTGTCAAACCCGAAAGACGCTACCGTTAGACTTAAAAATATCATGTGCGCCGATACTAGTCGACGACAACTCAGAACGAGGTCCAGGTTCATTCATCTCCGGTCAGGTACAGATTGATACTAGACATCCAGATATCAGGATCACCCATCTGGATGTCACGCTGGATATGATTACCACCTACAAACGACCCGTCCACAAAAGCTGCATCAACTGCTGCAGGGAGCAGAAGGCTTTACGCAAATGGAACTTGGTAGAGGAACCTCTGGATCTTCTCACAGAAAAACGAGACTTGGCCTTCTACGACCTTCTGCCTAGTCATCTTCCACCGTCAATATCATTAAGCATGATTTCGATCATCTATCAAATTCGAGCAACGGCCTTCGTTCAGCGTCCTCAACACGGAAGCTATGCCGGATCAGTCATTACTATTGATCACTCTATCCCCCTTTGTCGAGTATCATCAAAGCCTCAGCTACCACCATACATTTCCCATAGCTCTACTTCAACTGGTCTCGAATTCCGTGCCTTTCTGGAAGCGATACAAATTCACAATCCTAGCAACATTTCCATTCAACTGGGTGGCCTCCTCCGCCAGTCAACATCGGACCAGATGAACTATAAATGGAAAATCATGCGAACTGAGTGGGCATTAGACGAGGTGGTCACGTTTCCTCCCCAGTCATGTGATAAGCACCCTGGGGTGGAATGGCTGAGAGCTGCGCAGAAGCCGGTTATAAAAACACGGAATCTGGCTGCGCAGGTGATGTACGGAGGATGGAAGTCTGATTCAGCGGATGAATCATCGGCGGCTCTCGATCTTACCGTTGACCTTTCCACGAAAAGTGCGGCAAAGCACCCTCCTACTTGTTCTTATGACAGCCCGAACGTCGGGTCGTTAAAAATCCATCACTATTTAACGTTGGAGCTCTCAGTGATTCTAGAGCAATTTTCAGAGGGCAAAAAAGACGAGGCTACAGCAGTCGGAGTAGGACGGATCATCAAACAAAGATTCCCAGTTTCTTTGGTGGATAGCATTGGGGTGGACGACACAGTTATGGAACTCCCCGATTATGACGACCCACCCCATTATGAAACGGCAATAGGTGATTGAATACGAAAGGCATGAGTGGAAGATCCTAAACGGCCAGCTTGGTGTATGTGGAATGGCTCAAAGAGGTTGAGTTCTGATATTTTCCCCCCCGAGCGACATAACGAAGCCCTGGTCTGGGAGGAGAAGCCCAAAAGAAAAGAGAAAAGATACCCCGAAATTCTTTGCTATCCCAAATATCGAGACCTAAACCAGAGAATCATTCATCAACTCTCGGCGAGGGATGCGAAATTTGGCCTCCTATACTTTAGCTCAACTAAGTGGCTCTTGCAATCACTACTAGGGATAGGCTCAAGGCTTTGCAGCGGGAGGATGCAACAGGATACGTGAGACATTCTTTTCCTTAGACCTTTCCCTCCCTGGCTATCTGAATCGGCAATCACGAACATGTGAGGGAAAGGTATAACTCGGAGTTCAACGGTCAAAGTTGTTCCGCTGGGGATGGAAAGGGTCTCAAGCCATGTTCAGGCTTGAATTCATACTGAGAGCCCAATGTATTATGGAACATAGCATTGGAAGGAGGGGATAACTAGGACATAGTCAACCAAGGAAGGCCGGTGTGATGATTGGCCCACGGAAATCAAGGTCCTTATTTTCGTGCCAGACAAGTGAAAATAGTAGACAAGGCAGAAAGGAACGATTGAGTTGGGCTGTGCTGCTTGCACGAACCTGAGCAGCGCTTTGCGTCCACATGAATTCTTTCTAGCCACCTAGGTCGTAAAATAGAACGGGTCGGTTATTGATTTGACGAGATAGGTTCAATAGAACATTCATGCCGTTCTTCTAAAACCGATAAATCTCACAACATGGTTGATACATTATTGTTTCCTCCGTGCTTTCATTGAAAATCCCTCCCAAAAATCATTCTCAATGCGGCTCTCGCCGAGTTATTTTCGAATCGAGTCAGAAACGAAACGGTGACTTCTAGGAGATAACCCAATCAAGTGGTCTTGCATTTTGCCACGCCTTTGCTACTCAGTGGCAAGAACATCAGTGTCCCTTTCCATACCGAATTTAGACACTCGAGGCCACGCATTATGCGTAGAAGTAAACCTGGCTGCGAGCAGTTATGGGCTTCTACGATTTTCGAACGGGACATATTTCATCGCAGCCCTATCATCACGCAAGATACACAAGTACTTTTGCGTAGATAGTAATCTATTTAATCCTTGCGTTTACAATATAGAGGACCAGAACGGCATATGGCATATTCTGGCAACCGCCGATATTCTGGACGGCAATTATGATTAGCAGGGGGTGAGCGGGGTGTTTCAAGACAAAATTAGACATCGCCACGATTCAGCGCAAATCGACCCAAATAGAGGTAGATCCTCTGGCTGCTGAAGTGACAAAGCGCCCATCACCTTACATCGGTAGCTAATGAATACCAAGCTTTTGCTATTTACATTAAACAGTGTTGAGATCATCATCACATATTTCAAAAATGGACTCCTGGGTTTTGAGGTGCCGTTCGGACATTTTGAGCCAGTACTCCTTTTTGATGGCGAGATCCGTCCAGTTGACTTAGTAACCCAAAGTCCCTTATTCCTCGTCAGCACTGCCTGATCGTAACCCAAATGTGGTAATCACCGGAAAATTGGTGCATGACAGAAGGCTAAGGGAAACCATCTGCCCATCCTTCTGCTAAAGACACACGAGTGGCAATGCGCGTATTAATACCACACCACCCAAGTAGCATCCGGTCTGATCTAAATGCTACTATGTAGCAGCTCATTAAAGGGGGTTTATTTTAAGAGCCTGTGGAGATCAAGTGCGACTATCTGATTGTCATATAAAGAGGGCGATGCAGATCTCCTAAATTATCGAGTGCTCAACCAAGCAAGGCAGTTTCATACCATCATCGTTTTCAAGATGTTATTCCGTACTCTTTTTGGAGTGCTATCGCTCCTGGTAGCCAGCGCCTACTGTGAAGTTGTGCGATACGAACGCCCATCCATCTACGACAAGTCTGCACACTTCGCACTCCAAGTCAATGGAACCGAGATGTACACCGTCAGCTATGCTGGCTATGACTACGTCCATCTCTCCATGGACCAGGGCCACCCAACAGAATTCCGAATCAGAACCCTGTCCCAGGGCTCAACTATCAAATCCTATTCGATTACACCTAAGCAGCTCCCCATCAAAGCGAAAGTGGAGGGAAACGAGCTCGTTTGGTCCATGGAGAAGGTGCACTATCTAATCGTCAAGATTGATGACCTGAAAGAGTTTGTCATCGTCGTCGACCCTAAAGAAACAAATGCTCCGAAATCGAAGGGAACCGGTATCTTCAACGTGCTCGATTACAAGGCCGACAATACCGGAAAGACCATCACCACGGGAATCCAGGCTGCTATGGACGCAGCCGCTAAGCAACCAGGAAGCATCGTATATGTCCCCGCCGGTCTATATCAAATCGGAAACCTGATGCTCCGCAGTAAGACGTCTCTCTATCTGGCGGGTGGATCAGTCTTGCGGTTTACAGGCAAGCCTAGCGACTACAAGAAGCTCTACCATAAGAGCGATCTTTTCGACGGCACATGGTGGATCCAAACCGAATTCGACTCTACAGATATCAAGGTGTACGGACGAGGAACTATTGATGGAAACGGATATAACACACGCCAAAATAAGTACATGGCGGACCTGCTGGTGCCCGTCGGTACCAAGAACTTCCGCTGCGACGGAGTCTTGGTCCGAGACAGTTCCTTCTGGGCAGTTACTCCTATCCAGGTTGAGGATGCTCTGTTCACAAACCTGAAGATTCTCGACCGCCTTGACGTTACTCAGAATGACGGAATTGATGTTGTTGAATCCACAAGAGTGACCGTCAGACGCGCCATTGCCATCGCTAACGACGATAGTTTCTCGACCAAGACTTGGCCCTACAAGACTGGAACAACTGTGCCATACCCTTACTCGCCAAGACCTCTCAGCGACGTGGTATTTGAAAACACGGTTGCTTGGACCAAGTGCTACGGCTACAAGGTTGGCCAAGGTGTTCTCCAAAGACAGAACAACGTGACCTTCAGGGATGGCACCGTGTACGCCGCTGGTGTCGGTATCGGCATCCATCATCTATTCGGGACAGAGAAGGCTACCAAGGTCACATTCCAAGATATTGACATTGAGAACCTGGCCGGAAGTCCCGGCGGGCGTGGTACATGGCTGGCCGTATGGATTGCCCAAGGCGGCAGAGGCGTTGGCTCGGTTGAGGACATTCTCATCAAAAACATCAAGGCCCGGGACCAGGGCCACAAGAATGGGTTCCTGCAAGGATACAACGCGTCGGCGAAAGTTAGCGGTGTGACGTTTTCGGACGTGTACATGCTGGGAAGCACGAAGCCCGCTACGTCGCTGAAGCAGATGAACTTGCTGAACACCAGCTATTCGGAGAACATCAAGTTTGCTAACTCAAAGTAAGACTTGATGGCCCGGACTCTTAACTACCTTCTATGTAATTTTTTATATTCTTTCGGACCCTTTGAATACTCAGATTGGTGGTTTTAAACATTTATCCAAGTTGATACTAGTGTGATCTTTTACGTGACGCTTCGTTGGTAATGCAACGTGTACTATGATATCTGCGGTCACAATAGGTCTTCATGGTGAAGAGAAATAGATTTTTGTTAGGGACTACCTAGTTGACGAATTTTCGCGACTTAACCACTGAGCGTTAACTACCACCAACTTATGGACGTCTAGTTAGCGGAATACTACTCTAGCTGAGAATATGAAATAGTAAAGAAACATTCCCAACTGAATTTGACCTGTCTATACCGAGACCCTACTTGGCCCATCTGGAAATTTGTACGTCCGGCCTGCTCGAAACCTCCAAGACCATGTCATCGCCCTCAACCTGCTTGCTGATACCCAAGCTGGGTTTCTGCAAGTCTAGCCTCGGCACCACCAAGCCTGCGGTACCATCTGAAGCTCTCTGGCCCGCGCGCACCTCCTTGATGTCGAACCGCCACAACGCCCAGGCTACGAAGCTCAGCGATTCAAACCGCCCAATCTTCTTCCCGCTACAGAGAGTGATGCCTTGCCCGAAGGGGCGGTAGAACTCGTGGCGCTCCAGCTCCTTGTTGCGGAAGAAGCGGTAACAGTCTACGATGTTGGCGTTCTGGCCAAACGCGCCAGTGTCTAGCAGTAGTTGGCGCTGGGGCAGCACGATCTTGGTCCCCGCGGGGATTCTCTTGCCGCTGATGTTTGTTTCGCGTGTTGTCTCGCGCATAGAGGAGCCCGTGTTGTAGAAGCGGATAATTTCGTTGAAGACTGAGTTGAGAAGAGGTGATCCCTGGACCAGGCCGGCTCGCAGAGTCTCCGACGCTTCTTCTTTGCTCTCGTCAACGGCTGTCATGGTGGGCGCGATCTCTGCTCGGATTGCGGCCATGAGCGCTGGGTCGTGGACGATGTGAACCATCATCCAAAATGTTGTCATCTGAACGTTTGAGTTGATTCTGGCAATAGAATGGTCAGCTTCGCTTTGCAGCCATTGACTTTCAAGATATAGAGGAAGTTCTGAAGAAACAATTCTAGTGAGAAGCGTGTAGTGTCTAACTCACCCCCAAAGGATAATCATCAAGACGCGAGCACACGCTTCAGTGTCGAGACCTGCGTGTCTCATCTCATCCTCGACCTCGCTGACGTACGGAACTCCGCCCGTTCTCTTCTCCTTCGGCGTATCCAGAAACTTCATGATCGCATCGACCAGCTGCTCGCGCGGTCTCGTGGCGGCTTTCGCCATGAAGTCCGGGTACTGGTATGTGGCCATCCAGGAGTTGATATCCCAAAGGTCGTAGATTTCCGTGAAGTTGGGGAGTATATCTTCAAGGAGTGGCCCAAAGAAGCTGCGCGTCTGGGCGCCAATCGTCACCTCGCGCACCCACCGATGCATACTCACAACCTTGGTCGACGATTGAGGCATTTCATTGATGACAGCTGCTGGTGCAAATGTGTTCCATCTCATTCTATCTTCCATGTTCTTGTTCACGGAGGCTGCGAGCTGCTTGAAGTAATCTGGGTTCTGAACTTGCTTGTGGAGGAGCTCTTGGCCGGTCTTCACGAGAACGTTGCGCCTCGGATTGGGATGCAGCGAGACGAAGCCGTCGCTCACTTTGCGCCAGAGAGTGACCAAGCTGTCTTCCGATACATTGCCGACGCGCGTGTAAACTATGTTGATGAAGGGATCAAAGCTGTATGCTTCGGTGTTCTTGAAGACATCTGTCTTGTGTCTTGGATGGGAAACGACAACCAGTTGTTGACCTGCCACCTGGAGCGCATAAGGCTGGCGATTGTGTTCAAAGTAGGCACTGCGAAAGGATATTAACTTCACAAATCTTCAACTGAAAGAGACTTCACTTACTCTGCGTATTGATATAGTGCGGTCGTGTTCTTGAACAACGCGATAGCATGTCCTGGGAAGGGTGAGCCAGCTGTTTCAATGCTTCCTGCCTCTGTACGTACCAATAACTATGGTAAAGTTAGCTTTGTATCGTATTAACAGACCTTTAGACCGAGCCTCAATGTTACTCACAGGGAATGTTATAGGGAAGTACGGGGACCTCGTGCTTGTATAAGCGTGGCCTTAGCACAAACATCCATATCTTCCAGAGTAGCCATGCCGACGCGAATGGAGCAACATAAAGCAGTGCCCTCGCCTTTTCGAGTGCAGCTGCAGTAAATTCTGTGATCATTCTCACGATGTAATTGTAAAGATTCGTGCAAACGTGGGGGGAGATGGGGCATCGCCGTTAATGCCTACTATCATTTACTGGTACGGAACTGGCCCTCGTAGTGAGCCATGCTATATATGGTACAAGTCACTCGGCTGGATGCTTTAGCAAGGCTATTCCTGGACATTGCACAAATGTAATTGCAGGTACTGGTACCTCTCATGCGGTGGGGGCGTAGGTGGTCAGCTTCCAGGCACGTACATCATACTCCCACAAAGCCACACCCCCCGGGAAGCTCGACACACACCACCTCTTTTAGTAACCCTCAAGTGTTGGTTGGACATCCGTATCAGTATCTATCCTGCGGCTTATTTCATGTGAATTAGGCCCGATGTCGCATTTGCCAATGTCACTTCATCGTAGGACTCTTACCGACTGTGAGGCTTCCCCGTCATCTTAGTCCCACACACCAAAGCATGCCTATCACCTAAAATTAGGCCCATGAGAGGGGGCAAAGCTGATAGACATATCAATTAACATGGGGTTTTACGACAGCGGGTATTTGATCTACGAGACTTTCGCGGAAGTACGACATATCTACTTCCGAGCATTATTTGGCGGTTGCCAATGGCGCTGTGATGGCCCTTCGGGATGCCTTCAATAGTAATAGGACACTCCATACTCTCTACTTTTAAAGTGCTCTAGACATAGTCTACATGATAAATGTATCTAAAGAAATCCTGCAAATTGAATGCTCAATACAAGACACTTAGGTGTCGATGAAATAGGCGCACTCGGCCTTGCACACATGATTTCTCCGCCGGATTCTGAACGGCACCGGGCCAGAAGGCTTGCTCACGCCAAATCCGAAGCGCGGCGAGCCAAATTCCAGTGCCTCCTTGCCTGCTCGAATTTCGATGTCGAAGTTTGAGATGAGCATGGCAGATGTCAGCAGCATGATGCGCTTGGCAAGCAGACGGCCAGGGCAGGCATGCTGGCCACCTATGAACCATGTTAGTTGGAAGCGATATGGTACAGGGAATCTGTGTATCTCACCTCCATAAGGAAACCAGGCTCCTTCAAGGCCTTCGGAGGAGAAGTATGGACCGCCCTCAGCCTTCTCGGCCTTCTCAGCCGCGACCGCCGTCTTGGTCCTTGTAGGGCCACTCGAGGGATCCTTGGGGTCCACGAGGAACCTCTCTGGGCACCATTGATCCAGAGGATGCCTACCGTCGTGATTGTCCCAGACCTCCTCGTCAGTATGTGCTAGCTGCGTGTTGAGCAGGATCAGGGAGTTTTTCGGAATGGTGACACCCTGCACCTGCAGCTCATGATGGGGGGCGCTGCGCGGGACGTGAATATGGATGCCGTAGCGCAGCGTCTCCGCATACGCCGAGACGAGGAGAGGGACGGACTCCAGCTCCTTGACGGTCGGTGAAGGGGGGAGACGAGACAGAGATGTGCGCAGGGATGAGAGGAGTGGCTCGGCCTCAGAGGAGAACAGCTTGGTGACCATGGTTGCGGATGAAGGGACGACAGTGGTGACAGATCTATGGGAATGTTTAGCTTAGGTCCATACACTAGATCAGGCTGTTAAACTTACGACCAGATGAAGGCAAGATTCGTGGAAGCAACTGAGTCTTCATCTTGGCCCGTGCCGCCGAGCAGAAGTCGGTACCGCTCCTTCATCATCTTGGTTCCCCACCAAGAATCCGTCAGCTTTCCGTCGTCGAACTCGCTGACCTCGTCGTTCTTGACTGCTTCTGCGTGCCACTTCTTGACAGCGGCAAGTAGTCTGTCCCTGATGCTGTACGTCTTGGGAATCCATATTCGTGGGTACCTCTGGGCCAGGCTCATGACGTGCTCATCGTACTCCCACAAATCGCTAATGAAGTCCGGGTTCTGGCTGAGCAGCCTCTCTCCGAACAGCGTGCGGATCAGCGACGACCCGATGTGCGTCTGGAGAAATTCTGTCATGTCGGGCATATACGCCCAGTCGTGTCCGATGCCCATCTCATCCAGCGACTGCTCCAGATGCTCCCTGTATCGATCCGTGGCGGGGCCGAGGCTGCTGTTCTGGAGCAGTCCCGCGGTGAGGTTCTTATGGGTCATGTGGCTGAGACGATCCTGGGGACGGGGATTGCTGCCCGGGATGGGCTTCTCCCTAGTCCCCGATGTATCGGCTAGATACGCATCTACTGCCCTCTGCTTCATCCCGAAGCATTGCCTCAAGACAAGGCTCCACGATCGGGTGATGGTGAGCTGAGGGCTATGGAACATCTCCGCGACATTCTTGGGACCTTGCACGAGGTAGATGTCCTCGCGAAAGATGGGAACGACCATGGTAGAGCCATAAGGCAATCGAGCCCTGAAAACATGATTAGTATTGCGGTAGCAAGTGGAGGTGGAAACGGTGGTCATACTTGGCATCTCGTAGGAAGTTGAGGCCGTCGAAGACAAATGGTATCGTATTCTTCAGAATCGGCAGAGTGTATGGCACTCTGAAGGGGTCTTTTCTTTGCCAAGACTTGAGAAGAATAAAGGCAGAGTAAAATAGAGTGAGAATGCTTAGGCATACAAGGTAACCGGAGGCATGATCTGGCAGGGAGAGTCGGACTTTCCCTGCCGCAATACCCTTGTGAAAGAACTCGTGCATTTCGGCGACGGACATGAAGAAGCGTGATACTTGTGAGAGACAAGATCTGTGTTCATAAGTTCTGCCGTCACCCGTAATGATATAACAATGTAGCGACTTTCGCTCGTAGACCAAGTGTCTTCACACGAAACTGAAGCATAGCCCGAGAAGGCCAGAACCAACGAGGCTGCCATCCTGCAGAGTCTGCTCATCCTGCAGAACAACCTCAAGAATTGATAAAAACACGCCGATGGGGACATCAGCCGTACCAAGTACATGCGAGTACCTCACTGTCTTCAGATAGCGAGCCAGTCATCCTTTCCATTGTCTTGACAGCTATGTTGTATTTCCCCTTCACTAGTAAATGGGGGCAGTGCGGCACCAATTCTGAGTTGGCGATGAAGCCAATCGACTGGTCCGGCCAAGAACGCCACTCCGTCATCAGGATCAGGCATCAATAAGCTGAATAGAGGGTGACATGGTGTGTGGTAGATGTGGCAACGCCGTCGACCAGTCGTTGGCAGAGGTTGCCTACTCACACCAGGTCATCATTCGCGTTCCACCAACGAGCGTCGAAGACACGCAACTTGCTGGAAGGATCGAAGCTAGTTACGAAGATGGTCAAGAATAGCCGCTGCTCCCATGCTTGACGCCTTGCGAGGTGCGACAGATTGTGGGGTGAGGGGCGTTAGGCCGAGCAACTGGCATATGTCACAGATCTATCACCAACTTCAGTGTCCATTGCGGGAGGGACGCCGTGGGGGCTAAGCCTTAAGTCTCAGCTGTAAGCGGGAAGTCATACACGGGTGGACGGATGGCTGACATGCATGGTAGAGGCACGGAGCTGAAGATTCGTGTGTACAATCTAGTTGAACGCACCTGAGGCGGGCGAATGGTGTGCTGCGGAGTACACGCTGTTTGCCCTGGACAGTCAACACGATGAAGCTTAAGCGATGGAGCATTGCTGAGCTGCCGGCTTTGCCGCAATGATGCATGACTACAGCACTACTGCGGAGATCGGCCCATCCATGGCATCCTTCGCAACATCTTACCGATCGCGTAAGCGTATGTACATACCTCTCCATGAAGGCGCAGCTGACATAAGATATCACCTTGGCAGCTCGAAAGGGGGTGCATCCATCACGGCATATATGATAGCACCACAGGGGCTCCATCTACGGCTCTTGGCCATGCACGTCGTGAATCTTGCCTGAAAGGCTAGCACGGTGGCACGGTGCCGTAAGGCTGCATACAGGCTCGCTGCTGCGAGGATCGAATCATCCTTACATGATATTCATCTTTGCTATCATGACACAGTTGGTAGGCACACAAGAAGGGACGGATTTGTGGCCTTGTCTCAGGATGGTCATCCATGACGTGATATGGGAAGATGGCAGTTATGACACTTGGCCAGATGTAAACTGTCTTACGCGGATGGGTTGTGCCGAGACACCCACACGGAGCCTTTTGCCCAGTGCCGGTCAGACGGCCCGACACAGCAGTCACCGAACCGGCGATACAGTTGCAATTCCATAATGAGAGCCTTGAACTGAAGTCTTGCTGTATTTGTCTGTGCAGTATATCGCCTGTGTAGTGCGGATCAATAACACCGCCGGCGAGTTCTGACCGTCCGCTGGCTTTAATTCCTGGGTCGAAGTCCTTCTATCATAGCATCGGGAAATGATGGAGATAATGAGGCTACGATAATGTTCTCAGCTAGCTACTAGACCATTCTAAATGTAATCATATCCCCCATTCCGCGCCTTGACCTTGCGCGTTGTGGCCGAGTTGGAGTCGCTCGTGGTGACCTCGAAGCTCTGCTTGACGTGAACCGACTCCAGAGGCACAATATGCTCTGCAGAGTCGTGACTTCCAGCGTGCACTCCTCGGCCAGAACCCCACGTGTCCTCCGTACCTTGCAGCGGCCTGATGCTGCTTCCTTTTGTGAGGCGCGTGAAGCCCATGAGCGACCGAAGGCTCCAAGGGTTGCGCCGGCCCGACCGCCCCGAGCCCTCCTGGCTCTCCTTGTTGTATACGAAGAGCTGTCGAAAAGAAGCGAGGCAGGCAACGACGATGGCTAGAAACGCAATGGGTCAGCTGCAATTCATTTTCGGTGTATTATTGCTGCGAGGCCTTGGAAGACTTACCGATGCCGGCCTCGATGTTGGACCAGAAGTAGAGCCAGTCGATGCTGGACACCCGGACTTCACTGGAGATGCCCTTGACCAGCGCCACGCGGATGATGGCGACGACCATGATGATGATCGTGAGCGAGAAGACGCCGAGCAGCAGAGCCTTCTTCTTGAACGGGATTCGAACGTTCCACAGAATCCGAAACGGAATCGTCAGGATGAGCAGGTCGGTCACCACGTCCACGGCCATGTTGGCGTAGAACGTCCGATCGTCAAACTGGACCTGCGACTTCAGAATGCAGTGCTCTACAAAAAACGTCAGCGGATGAAGTTTTCTTCCCTCCGGTAATCCAGGCCGAGGGGAACTCACGCATGATGAACGTGATCTCGCTGAGGCTGCAGCCCCAATCAATGTCGGCAATGCAGGCAACCCAGCCGATCGCCGTGAGCACCATGACAGCCCACCACCAGACCTTGCTCAGGACGCCGTCGCCCAGCCGGCGGAAGAAGAGCATGAAGGAGAATTTGACCGCCCACAGGCACGAGTAGAAGAGGATGTTCCAGGCCACGACGAGGGGCAGGAAGCGGCCGTACACATCGATGAAGTCGAGGCTGGGAGGCCGCTCGCCCGTCTGGATGTCGTACATCCAGTACATGGCGCCGATCCTGTCCTGCCACAGGCTGGCCGACGTGAGGAGCATCAGCCAGGCGGCGATGACGAGGTAGTCGTCGGCGAGGAGTTTGCGGAGGGTGCGTAGGCGGATGGCGACGCGCATGACGAGCATGAGGAACGAGAACCACGTGGCGGTCCATGTTATTGCCTGTACGCCGCGGGGGTTTAGCATCCGGGGCAAATAGATTTGGGCTGAGCTGCATCTGTGGCTTCGGTCTTTGTGCTGGACTCACCATGAACGTGGTTTGGCTGACTCGCTCGACCGCAGGCAGCGCAATGTCCGATTCTCCAGACATGATGGGACAAGAGAGCTATCTCTCCCTCAACGAGATGAAAGTATGCGAGAGTAGAACGAAGTTCGGACGAAGTTGGAACAAAACACGCAAATACGAGCAGCGGGGGCTAAGGAATTGGCAGCTTGCTTGAGAGACGAAGGGAACACAGATGTACGCTTCTCCAAGGGAGTGTATAACATAACACGGATGTCCGTATTGGAGGCGACTGCCGGACGGAAATCGAGGAAAAGGCAATCGATGCCAAATTCAGCTTCTTACACGGTCGCTCCTACAGGAGCAAACCGTGTGTAGGCCGATCACGGCTGCGCCGTTGTTAGTGGTTGAGGAGGGAGGGATGGATGGTCAGACGACCCGCCGTGGCCTGCATGTCTTAGACTTCTGGCGACTGAGTAAGAAGCGATGGGGAAACTATCGGCAGTTTGTGAGTCGTCATTAATTGTACTTTGCTCCAGGTAGGGTCACATCCTTTGTGCCGGTGAGGAGTCGTTGGTGGCCTTTTCCGCGGTCATGTGTGCTGAGAGTGCAGAGCCTTGTCTGCCCTCGACCGCTTCGGATCCTGCGAACCACCCAATAGAGTCGGGTTTCAGCCTTTCGTAGAAGGGCCAAGTGTCTGTGCCACCCGGCACCGGCCTGAATTGATTCGCATGCCGGTTACGGGCTGATAGCAGTGGTGATGGGGGCCGTTCCTGAGCTAGTTGAGGCGCTGCCGCCACTTGTTGGGACCTTCGAGGACGCGTCAAGATTGGAGGCCGCCTTGCAGATACGAGTGGAACAAAATAGTGGTTGGTTTACTTGTTACTGCCGACTGCATTTGATGTCATGCATGTCAGATTCAAGATGGGCGGATGGCGTCCAGCCGCAAATGCAAGAAAAGTATAGAGTGGATTACATCTTACATGTACCCAGCCCATTCTTGGCAGTATGGGTGTGTTGCATTATGTTCTTGGCTTTGCAGTAGCCCACAACTTGGAGTCTGCCCCATGGGGGTTTACTGTGTGATTCTGGTGTTATGCTGTTTTTTTTCGTTGCTTACAATCGAGGAAACACTCTAAGCGAGTGTGAACACTCATGGAATTTGAACCTTTTTAGTAGATTATCCAGGTCGAGCGAGGGTTTAGCTTGGGGAATACCGCCATAATTACAAGATTGTATCTATTAATAGGTAGATGTTGCAAGAATAGACTGGGTTGACTGGTGGGCATCGCTCGGCAATTCAGGCCTCATTGAGCTTGGGAGTCTCACTGCTACGGACTTCCTGCTTTTCGCGTGAAGACGATTCCAAAGGAACCAGCTGAGGGCGGTTCTCACTCTCCCCATCGACCGATGACACTATATTCTTCCTCTCTTCGGCCACCTTGAGGGCATTGAGCCACTCCATCCCCAACGTAAAGGGCACTGCTGCACCAACCACAGCTGTAGAAAGAATCATGGTCCGCCTGATGGCAACATTCCAGATCTCCTGCAGTGCTAGAAGCTGGTCCTGAGATTGGGCAAGCGTACCGAGATTTGCAGCGCCGACCGCGACCACCCACTCCGCCGGGATGCCTGGCAGACGTTTGGGAACAAGGTCAAGAATCGTGGTTATGATGACGGTCTGGCCCATGGAGATGAATATGGCGCCGCCGAGCTGGTAGAAGAGGACGGCAATGGCATTTCCGACGGGGACATCAGTATCGGAGAGGACGAGCGCGACCGCCGTGTACGGGAGCTGCATGGCCATTCCCGAGCCGAGGCCAGACACGACGAACGAGGCAGCCCAGTAGAGCGTGCTGCTGTCGCGCTCGAGCTGCGTGAGCATAACCTGCCCGCCGATGCAGATGAGTTCGCCGACCACCATGTAGGGGACGTAGTAGCCGAACTGCTTGACAACAGCTCCGACAACGATCAGGGAGACGAGCTGGGGGAGCAGAAGAGGGATGAAGTTGACGCCGGTTGTGACGGCATTGACCCCCCGAACACCTTGAAACCAGAAGGGGAGAAAAAAGACGTTCTACTCAGGTCGAATTAGTTAGTGCGCCATTCATAGCCACGATCGCAATTGATAAAACTTGCCAGGTATGTTGATGCCCCGAGAAAGAAAAGCACCCCCGCAGCCGTCCATATCGATCGTTTTTTAAAGATGCGGAAAGGAATCAAGGCGAAATCCCCCCTCTTCCACTGCCACCAGATGAATAGCGTCCCGATGAGCACTGCCCCTACCAGACAGCCAATGACATCGGCAGATTTCCAAGGCTTTGTCTGGCCACCCCATTGTAACGCGAGGACGAGGCAGCATATGCAACTCGTGAAGATCAGGGCGCCGAATACGTCCATCTGGCGAAGTTTCTGCGAGAGCGGGAGGGATCTGTCTGCGGTCTTCTGGCCGCGGATCTTGAGGAAGATGTAGAGGCCAGCGAGGACGACGGCTCCGATGGGGAGGTTTCTATGGAAAACGTTAGCCTTTGATGTCTGCTCTGTGCCTTGTAAAGGGGGGACTGACATCCAGAAACACCATCTCCAAGTGGTGTGCTGGGTGAAGACGCCTCCCAGGACCGGGCCAACCGTGACGGCGATGACGAAGACACTAATGACGACGCCCATGTACAGCGGGCGTTTCTCGAGAGGGACGACCTGGCTGATGATGCTCAGGGCGCCCTGGAGAATACCGGCAGCGCCGAATCCAGCGATTGCTCTTCCCACGATGAACATGGGCGAGTTCACGGCTGTGGCACAAAGGATTGATCCCACTAACATGGACCATCAGTCAGAATCTACCTAGTAAATTGGGCGGGCTGGAAGGGAGAGTCACACCTTCAAAGATGGAGATGGACACTCGATACACGACATCTGTGCGGAAGTACGTGTACATGGAGCCATAGACGGGCTGGAAGGCGGTGATGGTGAGCAGGTAGGCGCTGCCATACCAGGCGACATCCTGGAGAGACTCGAAGTCGGAGGAGATCTTGGGCAGGGCGACGTTGATGATGTTGGTGTCGAGGGCGATGAGGAACGAGCCGAAGAAGAGGCAGGCGATGACGATGTGAAGGCGCCATCCGGAGAGGTAGAGCGAGGTGTCTAGGGCCAGCGATCTGCTGGCAGAGTCGGACATGGTGACGGACGAGACGATGAAGATTGGCTTGCTTGATGCACTCAAGCTATCGCCACGAAGATGATGAGAGGAGGAAGTGTCAAGAGGACGTCCAGACCCTGGACCTACCCTGGCCTGAAGCACGGGTACCTAGAACCTGTCCGGCAGACCCCATGAACGCTGAAGGTGAGTGCCGTGAAGCTTAATCGGCCGCCCCTGGAGGATGCTGAGGTGCTGCGCCTCTCGCCCCCAAGGCAATCACAACCCAACAAAGCAGCTGTAAGCCAATTGATTCAATGCCAGGAACTTTGTTACTGACAAGTCAATTCAGCATGTTGAATAGGTGGCATCTATTGGCTCGGCACATGGAGATCAATGGCCTCTAGAGTAAACATGTACTTTCATGCGCCTTGGCCCCCAAAGCAGCAGTACGCGTACGCTAATTTGCACTAGATTTGAGACATGCCATTGTTGGCAGCGATGCAACAGTACCTTAGGCAGGTTGGTTGCCTTGGAGCTCAGCTGAAAAGGGTGCTCCGTATTTGCGGCCTCGTCGTTGGCTGATACTGGCCCCTCCTGCATTATCCCGAAGACTTGCATCACTACATGCACCCTCCCCCTTCCTCCTCCACACTCATCTCCCCCACTTGAACAAGATTACACACTGACCGGTCCAGCCCTGTCTGCCTGTCTGCCTAAGTCCCGACGGCGGTCCGTACCGAACGAAGGATCAGTGACCAGGGCTAGGGGCTTCCTTCCATCGGCCGCTGTGCCGCTGGAATCTCACGAAGTGTAGCATTGTGTACGGCTGAGGGAGTCCAGGGTGATGTCGGTTCAAACTGCAACGGCCAGGCGGCGTCTATCACCGACCGTATGAGGTATGTATCTCGTGTACCAAGGTACAGTATGGTGGTTGCAACGTGTCACAGGTACATGCCCGGGTGGTGACAGCGGCTTACACTGCTCCAAGTGTCAACACTCGAGGTCGTCACGGCCCGCGCGCAGACAGTTGCTGAGCCATACTCGCAAACCTCCAGTACTAGGTGACTCAACAAAGAACCATCATCAATCTCAGTGTACAGCACATCAGCAATGGCCGCTACGAAAGGACTTGCGACGCGGCTCCTAGAGCAGATACAAGCATCGACAGCAACATACCTCGAGTTCCTATCGTCGCAGTCGCTGCCAGAACCCTCCTTCGAAGATGGCGACGGCCTCAACCCTGACGCCGAGCTGCCGCCCGATGTCCAGCGCGCTCGAGACAGCGCTCTCGAGGCGACCGAGGAGCTGCACCGCCTGCTGCTGGGTCCCTTGGGTCTCATCCTGAGCGCTCCTGCAGACCAATACCTGCTCCTCAGCATCCAATACATCTACCGGCACAAGATCGCCCAGCACGTGCCGACGAGCGGCGAGATTGCGTTCGGCGACATCGCGGCGGCCGCTGGGCTCGAGGTGGGAGACATGGCACGCTTCCTCAGACTGGCGACGGGGTGGCACGTCTTCCACGAGCCGCGCCCCGGGATGCTTGTCCACACAGCGGCCTCGAGGCAGCTGGCCGGCAACAGGATGCTGGAGGCGTGGATCAACAACATCGCCGAGGAGTTCTGGCCGTCCCTGGCGAGGACCGTGGACGCGGGCCAGCGCTGGCCGGGCAGCGAGGAGCCCAACCAGAGCGGCTACTCCCTCGGCCACGGCGACACCGCGCTGAGCCCGTTCGAGGTCATCGCCGCCGACCCCTCGCGCCAGGCCCGCTTCAACGACGTCCAGAGCTTCTCGCACCGCCACCGCAGCTTCAGCGTCGACCACCTGCTCAGCGGCCACGACTTCTCGGCCGCCCGCACCCTCGTCGACGTGGGCGGCTCGAGGGGCGAGGTCGCCGCCGCCATCGCCCGCCGGTACCCGGGCCTCGTCGACGTCGTCGTCCAGGACCAGCCCGGCGTGATATCGCAGCTGAGCGTGCCCCCCGAGCTGGCTGGCCGCGTGCGGGGGATGGCGCACGACTTCCTCACGCCGCAGCCCGTCGTGGGCGCCGACGTGTACCTCCTGCGCTGGGTCATGCACGACTGGAGCGACAAGTACTGCGTCCTCATCCTGCGGGCGCTCGTGCCGGCGCTGAAGAAGGGAGCCAGGGTCGTCATCAACGATATTTGCGCCCCGGAGCCGTGCCAGCTCGGCGTGGCGGCTGATCGTGGGCTGCGCCAGATGGACATCTCCATGAAGGCCTTCAACAATGCCAAGGTGCGCGACGGGGCTACCTGGGCCAAATTATTTGCCGTAGCCGACGAGAGATTCAATTTTATGGGCATTACGCTGCCGCCGGGGGCGAGGATGGCCATCATTCAGGGCGAGTGGACTGGCGAGGACCAGGCCAATGGATCAGAGACGGCGTAAACACTCAACGAAGTTACTAGCAATGCCACATAAATTATTTCATCACATGCATAATATATCAGTTCACTACCATGCGAGTCAACTTAAGCTTTGAGTGATGTTACCTGCTGGTTCAATCCTGCCTCTTCTCCTCCTCCGCCTCCCACGTAAACGTCCACTTAACCCCCTTGGCCTCCTCTCTCTCCGTGATCCGCACCTCAATGTCCTCCACAGGCGTCATGATGCTCGTCGTGATATGACTCTTCGTCTTGGGCACGACCCACGACCGCCCATGCGCAGGACTCACGTCGTACCTCGGCAGCATCATCACCAAGATCGCCGAGATCTCGTTCGTGGCGAAGAACCGGCCCGGGCAGACGCTCGCACCGCTCCCGAACGCGCGGTACGCCGATCCGGGCACCTTCTTCTGCCCGAGGAACCGCCCCGCGTCAAAGGCCGACGCCGTGGGACCCCAGACGTCCGCGTTGCGGTGCAGCTCGGCCGAGGGGGTCAGGAGCGTGGCGCCCTCTTTGAGCATGTACCTGTCGTCGATGAGCGTGTCCCGCAGCACGACGCGCCCGGAGGCGTTTGTGCTGTGGACGCGGAGCACCTCGCGCACGAGCGAGTCGAGCAGTCTACAGCCGGCGATGACCTCGGGGAGGTTGATGCTCGCAGTGGCCTCCTCTTCTCTCCGAACAAAGGCGCCAATGTCCCGTCTGAGACTGGCGAGCAGGGACTCGTCGGAGTAGACGTGGTACAGCACCCAGGCCGCCGTCGGCACGGTGTTTACGAGCAGGCCGTACGAGACGCTCAGGTTGAAGTGCTCCATGTCTGTCTGCGACAGCCCGTGCTGCAGGCTCACGGCGTGGCGGGACCTGATGAGCGCAGAGGCTGTACTTGGGCCGTCTTCGCTGTAGTACCTGTGCATGGCGTCGAAGAAGAGCTTCCGTGCTCGGCTGCCGCGAGGGGTGATGAGGCCTGGCAGCACGTTCAGCCCAAGGAGAATGAACTGCTCGTCGATGGTCCTGGATCGCGGTCAGCTACAGATCAGAAGCTAAAGTCAAAAGGAGCAGTAGGGGATCGGCGTACCAGAACGCATCGTATACCTCAGGGTCGTGAAACGGGTTCTTCTCCGGCCCGTACACGGCGTCGGTGCTCGCCCTGGTGACGAATCTGCGCGTCCACTCAAACAACCTGATGCGTCCGCTCCCAGACGATTCCTGAACGGAGGCAGGATCAAGATAGGTTGAAATCCCTCGTAGCATCACCTTTGAGATGGCGTCCAGGTTTGGCCCGGGGACAAGCGAGTCGTGCATGGCCTTGAGTGTCTCCGGACGGAGTCCCACAGGGCCCTTCTCCTCCAGCAGGTTCTCCCCCAGCTTCTCAATCGCATGTTGGCTGGGTTTCAGCATCCTCTTTGCAAACTGCACGACGTAGGGAGCGAACGAGATGGTCTTGGAGCGACGATCAATCGCAGATATCAGCTGAGGCGAGGTAACGATGTAGATCTTGCTTTTGGGCACGCCGAGAGTGAATATCGGCAGGTTGTGTTTCTTACTAGGTCAATGTGTAAGTCACTTTGCTACTATGTGAGAGAATATGACCTACGCGATCATGCCATAGTAGCTCGATCCATGTCGGATCATGCCGGGAAGATGACCGAAGAAAGGGATGCGAGAGGGGATCAGGCGTGGTTCATTGGGACCGTGTGATGCTGTCGCAAAATGGCTGAATATGAAGAAGCAAATGATTGAGCACAGCGAGACGAGTAGAATGGGCGTAATCATATTGACGATTGTTTGCATTGGTAGACCAAATTGTGAATATTGATCAGTGCCTACGCAGTTGAAGATACACGTCTTGACTCTTGAAGTCTGAGGCAAGTTGGGTTCTCATGAGGATGGCGACGGAGTGAGTCTACCAGCCTCATGCCGTATGCAATAATACCACAATGACCATTGTGATTCGACTGATCGATGCCACAGGTAGATGTACATAAGATGATACCTCAGCCGCACCAGATGGTGGGGTTGCAATCACTGAAGCCTCCAACATAAGCCTTGTGTAAGACGGCGGACGCTGACGTGGGGCACAGCGGCATTGAGGAGGGGGTGTGCATCTAATGTCTTGGATTAATCATAATTGTGATTGTTGGGTTTCAAACAAATGGCTCTTGATTGGACTTGGGCTTCTAGGCAGCACCCACGTACGGTCACACTGCAGTGCGGCCGACGCGACCAACAGTCAATTGAATGTTGGTTGAAATGAATTCAGGAGTACGAGTACGAGCACAAGTGAGGTAAAGGTACTTTTGGTGACACTGCAGTGAACAATGCTAAGCTCAATCTTGGGTTCAATGGCACAGCAGGTCCAGGAACAAACAAAACGGGCAGTGAACACCTCCCTCTCACCTCTCTCGGTCTCTCCTGCCCCGCCATTGCTTTGAGGAGTCTCCCTCCTTCTCACGCACCTCCATCGCTTCAGCCTTGAGAGCACCGCCATACCCAATTCCCAGCTCCATCGCTTCGAATACTCTCCTCGTCATCGGCTGTCTCCCGCCATGTTGGGTCTCATCTTGGCTGGCCTCGCTTCGGCCTACAGCATCTGGAGCTTCGTCTGCCTCGAGGCCAACGTGCGCAAGGCTCGCGCCCTCGGCCTGCCCGTCGCCCGTCTGCCCGTCGACGCCAACAACGTCTTCTGGATCCTCCTCCAGCCTCACTTCTACAGCCTCCTCGACCGCCTCCCCATCCGCTGGCTCTCCTACCCGTCCTTTGTGCGCTTCTCCCGCAGAGGATGGTACTTTGCCGAGCGCGCCAATGCCCACCTCGAGCTGGGCCCCATCTGGGCCCTCGTGTCGCCCGTGAGCATCAACATCCATGTGGCCGACCCTGATGCCATCCAGGACATTGTCACCCGCCGCGGCGACTTCCAACGTCCCACTGCAGAGCTCAGTACCTCTCCCCCTTCCCTACACTGCTTGTAGCAATAGCTGACAATTGTTCAGAAATACTAGAGCTCTACGGACCGTGCATATCGACAGCCAAGTGGCCCGACTGGCCGCGCCACCGCAAGCCCATGGCCACGCCCTTCAACGAGACCATCATGGCCTCCGTCTGGACCGAGTCTCGGCGCCAGACTCTCGGCATGTTGGCGTCGTGGACAAAGTTCGCCGGTGCCGGCATCCCCAGCTACCAGCGCGACACACGCACGCTCTCCCTCAACGTGCTCGCCGCCGTCGGCTTCGGCAAACCCTACGACTTCCGCGGCTCGACAGAACCTTCCGTTGACGAGATTGGCGAGTACCGCGACTCCCTGCAGACCGTCCTCGACAACATCATCCTGCTGCTCATCGTGCCTTTCCGCGTGCTCCAGATGGTCCCGGGCAACTGGGCAAGGATCGGCAATGCGGGCGTCTCGTTCAGGAACCACATGGTCAAGATGCTCGAGAGCGAGACGGAGGCGCTACAGCAGGGGAGGAAAGGCTCCGGCGGCATCATGCCTGGCTTCGTCCGCGCCGTTGACCAGTATCACCGCGAATCTACCGCCGATCCGGATGCCAAGGGCGCAAAGAAGGGCCTCTCCGTGGACGAGATCTTCGGCAACCTGTTCGTCATCAACTTCGCAGGCCACGACACCACCGCCAACACCCTGGCATTCGCCACGCTGCTGCTGGCGGCGCACCCGGACGTCCAGGCCTGGCTCGCCGCCGAGATCGAGGCCGTGGCCGAGGGCAAGCCGATGGAGGAATGGGACTACAAGCAAATGTTCCCCAAGCTCAACCGCTGCCGGGCCGTCTTCTACGAGACCTTGCGCCTGTTCCCCCCCGTGCCTGCCCTGCCCTCCATCACCAGCGACCATCCCCAGCAGGTAACCGTCGGGGATAGGACCTACACCGTGCCCGTCGGCGTCAACTTCACCGCCAACCTGCGCGCCATGCAGACGCACCCGGTGTACTGGTCCAACGCCGACCAGTGGGAACCGTCGCGGTGGATCGTGAACCCGGCACCTACTCCGGAACAGGTGGCGCAGGAGACATTCTTCGTCCCCGGCAAGAACATCTTCTTCCCCTGGGGCGAGGGCCCCCAGATCTGCCCCGGGCGAAGGCTGTCCGAGGTGGAGGCCGTCGCCGTGCTCGCGTGCCTGTTCAGGGCGCACCGGCTGCGGATCAAGAAGGACAGCGACGGGGAGAGCGATGAGGCGACGTACGAGCGGTTTGACAAGTGTGTGAATGATGTGGACCTGGTGATGCTGGTTAGACTGAAGAACGCGGACCAGGTCACCCTGATTTGCGAAGAGGCGTGATGGTGCTGGGAGTCTGGGACACTCCACAGAGAATAGTTTAATTCCAGCTGCAGACCGCCGTTTCGCATGGCAAGGCACGTTCTGCCGATGTAGTGATCTATAATGAGGATATGTATGCCAACCCACTGAGTTGGCAGAGCTTTCAATTCTACTGGAATGTCGAAGTGACTTACATGCCCGCTTGACCTCGACGCCGGGGTCAACAAGTAGCCAACGACAACACGGGTCTTCACCTCTAGACGTGAACATAAAAGAAAGTGCCTCCATGAAGCCAGTCTATTGCATTCCTCCAAGTCATATTCTGAACTCTCGCTCAGGGTAGTTCCGAGGCGGAATACTAGCTGGGACAAGTGGGTGCGGCGCATCTCGTGCTGGACTGATTAGCTGGTGGCCTCCTATAGGCATCTTGGAGGCTTGTCGCCGACTTTGAAACCATGATTAATCTCGGCCAGTGCGACATTCAAAGCAATAAACAGCCTAAATATGTCGGGCTTCGGTCGCAACCGCGCCTACTTGGCGGTCGATCATGCGCACCTTGTCCAGGATCAGTGGGCATTCTCCACTTCAAACGCTTCAGGATCATGAGACGCGTATCAAAGCCTCATGTAAAGGGGAAGATCAAACCATATATCAAACATTCAAGGCATCACAAGTTGAACAAAGCTTTCGGGCATTGCAGGAGGGGGACCACATTGGGAAAATCATCGGTCCTGTGCCCAAGACCACGGCGCCAGATCCCACCGCAGAAATAGTCCCATAAAGACTCTCAGGAGTATTCCAAGAAGCATAATTCGTTTGATACGAATGCCTCATACCTTCTTGTGGGGGGACTACTCGAGGAAACCGGGAAGGCTGTTGCGGTCTGGGTGGCTGAGAAAGGGGCCAAAAACCTGCTATTCATGACTCGCTCGGGACAGGAAAGCACCAATGCCAATGTTAGAGAAATAACCCCGAAGCATGGCAACTTCGCCGGGAAGCTTCCGCTTCTTGGATGCTCGGTCACGAGTCGAAGGGGAGATGCCACCGTCTTGCGGGACGTGTTTGATATCGTGGAGTGTGCACGTCGACCTATCAAAGATGTCATACCGATGGCTATGGAGCTGAACGTGAGTTTTGGATTAATCTATACAGAAGAAAACAGTATTATTAACAACCTAAGATGATGATCCATCCTCCATGGTATTCAGGAAGTGGGCAGCCTCTTCGTCCCCAAAGGTTCCTGGAACACTAAATCTGCACAAGGCCTTCCAGGAACACCGTGTAAAGCAATGGAATACCTCTAGACTTCTTCTTCGCTTTCAGTTGGTCAACACCATGTTGGAGATAGTAGCGGGCGGCGAGGTTGGTAAGATTGCCTTGGAGGTCATGGAGAAAATCGGAGCTGGAGTCAACACTGCATAGCCCTGCAAAGTTAAAACTACAGTGCAGAGCACCGTAGTGTCAGGAATGATGGATCGTTACACTGCCAGTCAAGCGTAAGTCGTCCCTTTAATTGGGATATAAATGAATGGTGTATTATTAGGATCTAAGTCGATAATATTTATAAGCCTCGGCCAAGGGATGATCCCGTCTTTTCTGGTGTGAGATTCGCGTCTATTGTTATAATTCGAAACACTGCGCAACACATCTTCTTCCGATGGACAGATTGTTTGGTTCAATAGCTTCACAGATCGCAGTGTCGTTAGTTCACGATATTGGTCCAAGGTTGGACAACTTCTGAATGGCCAGATCTTCAGACTCTTGCCACAGGTTCGAAAGAATAATGTAAGACCGAAGAGGCCCGCTTGGAACTTGCATCATTACCTAGGTTTCCTGTCTGGGCATATTTGGGTGCCTTGGAGATTAAAGCAACTCTATCTTCTTAGCATGTGCAACCACAAATAACCCCAAGATCACGCCCAACTCAAACTCTATACCCCCCCACCTCCTAATCTCCACAATGGTATCCTCCCCACCAGCAGTTTTCCTTACTACTGTTGCAAACATGAACTGCGAATCGTAGTTGTTCTCATGGTACCGTATATCTAGCACTATTGGAAGTGCCCCTGCCCACCGCAGGTCAAACTTTGGCTCGTCCGGGGCCGAATACCACTTGAACAGGTGAGGTGCCGCTGGTCTACCAGGTACTGTAACGATTGGTAGGTTAACCTTGTAGTCGAATGAAAGCATCCTTGGTGCAGTCATTGGGACCCAGAGCGCGTTAGGTTGAGTCGGAGAGCAAGTGCATATTGTGGCTAGAGGCTCCCTTTTGTTTGTAGGATCAGCTGAAAGGCGCGCGGCGGCAATAGGAAGTGTACTATCAGATGCGGAGAAGATTTGAATATTGCCAACTTTAGAGAATGAGGATATGAGTTTGATATGATACAGAGGCGTGGGATCGACTGTAAGAGAGACATGGTAGCTTGTAGCTGAATCACGGATAAGTGTAAGGTAGTCGACTTGAAAGTCCCGGATGGAGCCTGTTTGTATGGTACCAGCAATACGGTTGATAATATGGTTGGTGGCAGAGGCACTAGGCTGCGTTGTTTCTTTTATAGGCTGCTTCTCCTGGTAGGGAGGTAAGTCCTCCGTATTGGACGCCATACCTAGTTCATGTAAACGTTGGTGACAGCAGCTTTGAGGCCATGGAGTTTATCAAGCGGGTGAAAGTAGTCAGAATGAATCCACGGAGGGACAGCTCTGGATATAAGGGCTTTTGAGTTCTATTATTAGCTTAGCACCAGGTACATACCAAGCCATCAGTGGGCTGGGAACAACATGGCAAGCCAAATTATGCCGGAACAGGCACTGGGCTGATTATTACCTCAGAAGCAGGTCACATGTGCATACAAAGTCACTAGGTGGGCGAGAAGCAACCAACACCGCGTGACAGGCCAAACCTGAATGGAGTATGATGCCCCGAACAGGCACTGGCCTGACTATTGCCTCATCAGTAGGTTGCATGTGCATACAATGCCACCAGATGGGCCAGGAACAACCAACATGGCATGGCACCCGCCAAGCCACGCCAGATCAAGCCTCATGTCGGAGCAGGATCGTAGGTATCTCAAAATCTGCGCAACAGCATTCGTAATAAATTGGACAGCATGGTGATGGTGGCATCGGCCTATCTGATATCATCCAAAATTTGCGATCAAGATGGGAAGCCGATCACAAGAGTGATGCACTTACACTTGGTGAATACTGTTGTAATTTTGTCGGAGGTGTAGTCACTGGTGTTGAGGAAGCGAAAACGCGAAAGGAATGTGGAAAGACTAGATTGAAATGCTCAAAGATGCCGCGATGGTAGTCAAAGGCAAATTTGAGGACTGGTTGCGAAATGCACCGCGAAAGTATGCGAATTAGTCTAGCGCGACAGGCTTCCAAGAAGTTCAATCGATGGATTTAGAAGAGGAAGAATTCCGAGAAGATTGAGAAGGTCGATCGACGGACAATGGAGAAAGCGAGTTCCAAGGAGACGGGATCCGGTGATTCCTGGTAGGCATAGTCGCATGTGATGGAAGGGCATTTTGTTTGGATCTATGTATAGGATGTTCATAAGCCTCGGCCAAGGACAATGACTTTTCCGGTATAAGATTTGCAATGATGTATATTTTTGTTTTTGTTTTGTTTTTTATTCCATTTCTTATCGCTACAGGCAAGAGATATCCTCAGGTCGGGCTGCACACATAACAGTGCAACACAGTACGGGATACCTGTGCCGATACACATACTAAAAACAATCGCTTATAACTCCCACATCCTTAGCCTCGTTGCCGCCTCAGTGTACATGTATCGTACTCCAACGCCAGGTGCGAAAACTAACAGCCCGGTTGGCCCTGGAACTGTTGAAAGTGATGCTGAGGAAACCCCTGGTACTCTCCTTGCTGCCCTTGCTGTTCTTGATAAGTCCGGCTAGCCTGGCCCTGGAACTGTTGGAAACACGGCTCGGGAAGCCCCTGAGACTGTTGGGGATAGAAGGGCTGGTACGCCGCCAGCTGTGGATGGCTGAGCTGCTGCGGGTTGAATTGGGGGGCTGCCGCCTGGTACATTTGGCTACCCGATGGTACGGGTTGCTCTTGTTGTTGGCTTTGCTGCCACTGCTGCTGCTGCTGTTGCTGCCACTGCCACTGCTGCCACTGCTGCTGCAACTGCTGCTGCTGCTGATGTTGGCGTAGCAGCCTACACCACTGCAGCCTTTCCGTCTGCTTCGCCTGTCCTTTTTTGAGGTCTCTCAGGCGTTGCTCCTCCGATACTTGCCGCCTCTGCTCTTGTCTGGGTGCCGCTTGCTCCGTATGCTGGAAGTCTGTTCCCGCGGTGCCAGGCTGAAGGCACTCCGTATCAGTGCCAGGCTGAAGGCACTCCGTATCAGTGCCAGGCTGAACGGACTCCGTATCATTGCCAGACTGAAGGCACTCCGTATCAGTGCCAGGAAGGAGCTCCGTTTCAGTGCCAGGCTGAACGGACTCCATATCATTGCCAGACTGAACGGACTCCGTATCAGTGACAGACCATGTGGTATTGATCACAGGCTGATGGCTCTGGACGTCGGCACAAAGCTGATGATTCTTATCATCCCCACAAATTGTGTCGCCGGCAATATCGATATCAAAATTGAAATCAGCCAAATCGGCACCGGTCGCAAAGTTAAAATTGATACCAGCCGCATCGGCATTATCGATGATAGTTTTATCATAATCATCGACAATAGTCGTATAGTTATTGTCGACACCAGTCATGTCGCTGACATTGGTATCATGCTCCCAGTCCTCTGCATTCTTCTGGGCAGTTTCAGCGGCCCGTTCTCCCTCCAGAACCGTCCCTAAATAGAGCACCCTTTCCTCTGCACCCAACGTTTCATCGACGGTGTAACTCATATTGGTGGTATGGATAGGGAAGTGGGTAAGTGTTTTTGTATGAATGAGGGTGAGGGCAATCGACACAGGTCTGAGAAAGCTTTGGTGGGTGAGTAAAAATCACAAGTTGAAGTCTTGGGCGAAAGTGTGATCAGGGAATATTGCTCCCTCCAGTCGTCTGGGATTGCCATTGCATTATATAGGGAGCAACGAAAAGTTAGAAAGGCGGACTGATGCTGTTTACGCAGCTCTTTACCAGAAGCTATGGCGGTGGACTGAACCTTGACTCCGACCGGATGAGCGTGTTCAATTTCAACCCGGCGCGTGACAGAGAGAAGTGCTGGACTCCATCGACGAGAACGCAAAGTTAGAAAGGCGGAGTGATGCCGTTTACGCAGCTATTTACCAGAAGCGATCGCGGTGGACTGAACCTTGGCTCTTGTCCCTGCGATGGCTCGAACTCCGGCGGCCAGCGCTCAAACTGAGCCGCCCGGTACTTAGGCTTCGCCGTGTAGCATCCACCGATTTCGAATCAAATGCACGGGATCTGGAACTTCTCCGGAAGTTCAGTATGAGAAACTGACCAGAAGTGCAGCCAATGGTCACTGTTGGGCCAGCTGCCCGGAAGACTTGGGGTCTGTGCTCTGGGGGTAGCCAGAGAACATTTTCTTCACACCATGTGATCCAGTCACCTTGAGACGTGATCCCATACCCAATAGGTCCGGGGACTTCCAGGTTCTTCCCTTCTGCTAGATCTTGACTAGCTCCGAACACAATTGCTCCTGCTGCAGTGTCGATGCTGAAGCCTGAACCTACACTCGAGATGCTGAAGACCTCTCCCTTGGCTTGGAATGAGTGGGTACACTTGTTTGTTTTTAGGTTCCAGACCTGGATAGTTCCTTCTTTTGAAGCCGAGGCAAGGCAGCAGCCGTCCGCTGAGAAGGCAACAATCTCTGCATTCGCACTGTGGCTCTCAAAGGTGCAGGAACTATCCTCACACTTCCACACCTTCACTGTCCTCCAGTTGTCATAGGAGGCGGAGGCAATGTACTTGTCGTCTTGGGAAAAAGCAATGCAGCAGAACGGGTCTGAACGCTTCTCAAACGAGGATAGGACCTCGCCCGTAGTCAAACTCCATACAGTCATTCCACCGCTAAGAGAACTTGCAACCAGTCGCTGCCCACGGTGCGAGAAATCTAGTGACGTAACATAGCCTTCGCCCGACTTCAGTGTGCGGATACACTTTCCCTTGCCGACATCCCAGATCCTTACGAACCCATCATCAAGGCCGGTGGCGATGAACCTGTCGTCGTGGGAAAATACCATGGATCGTACGGCCAGGGATGGACTCGGGGACAAAGAGTCTCGTCCCCGCCATTGCTTGAGTTTCACCTTGTCAATCACCTTGGTCCTTGTCGAGGAAATCCAGTGTTCATCAGCGGTCTGCTGGAAGTCCTGGACACACTCGCCCGTAATCCGATGCCACAACTTTAAGGTTCTGTCCAGCTGGGATGTTGTGGCAAGCCATTTTTTGTCATTTGAAAATATGGAGAAGTGAATGCTATTCGACGTATCTTCAATCTTGGTAGTCGTGCCACCAGAGTTCCGCGCGTTGGCGAGGTCCCATACTTTGAGCGACTTGTCCCGGGACGCTGAGACGAGCCAGCTGTTGTCCGAAGATATGACCACGTCCGTCACGGGGTCTGTGTGGCCCGCAAAGCTCAAGTCACAGTGACCTGTCTTGATATTCCACAGATTGACAGACCCATCCCAAGCGGAGCCGCATGCAATAAGGCTGTCATCGGGAGAAAATGAGATGGATCTGCCGGGACGTGCCGCAATGGTAGTATAACAAGCCCCAGAACGTATCCATATCCGGATACTGCCGTCAAGAGACGCAGACGCAATAAAGCGATCATTATGGGAGAAGACAACAGAGGTGACCCAGTCCTTGTGGCCCGTGAATACTCGCTCGCTCGGCCCTTTTGGGTCCCAGATCTTATCCCAGACTCGGACTTGGCCCTCCGAGTCTGCAGACGCGAGGCAAAACTCCCTGTGCGCGAATGCCACGGAGACAACTTCATCCCGGTGCCCGGTGAGCGTTTTAGCGCACTCCCCTTTCCTGTCCCAGATCTTGATGGACTTGTCGCTTGAGGCGCTCGCCAAGTACATGTCATCATCGCTAAACGAGACTGAGCGTACTGCATCTTCATGTTCCGTGAGTGTCTGGACACATACCCCATCGTTGTCCCACACCCGGACTGCCCCATCTGCGGATGCAGACGCCAACCGGCTATTGTCATGGGAGAAAGAGATGGAGTATATTTTGTCGGTATGGCCTCTCAAAGTCTGTTTACAGAAGCCAATTCGGTCCCATAGTTTGATGGTGCCATCATGAGATGCAGTAGCGATGAGGTCGTTCCCATTCGAAATAGCTACGGAACTTACCACGTCCGTGTGACCTTCGAGCGTTTGCGTGCAAGCACCCCATTCTTCTCGCGCAAAGATGGGTGGCAACCAACCCGAAGATTTGTGGTAGAATGATTTTCGGACTCTGCTATTCCTGGGAGAAAAGAAGAGCGCGGAGGAATAGAGTTGGAGGGGGTACTGGTTCGTAATTGGGATGAATTTGAGAAGAAACCGGCGGATATCGTGGAGGAATTCCAAAAAGCCTTCACCGATCTGCTCGTTGTCAGCCAAATCCATAGAACGAGAAGAATTTACACAGGGATCGGCTACTTACAGGCATTAATCTGCAAAGGGTATCTATCATGGAAATGCTTTCATATCCAAGCCCTAAAAGGCACAAGACTTCGACCCAGTGCAGGAAATGAATCTCAAGAAACTTCTTGACCCATCCTATCTGGTCCTGCGTCAGGTGGGATCCGGCAGCAGTGCCCTGTTCAAGATGGTATACCCAGTATAAACAAGCATATCTAATATGGTCAGGAATTTGCGCATTGATGGTCCCTGTCAGGATGTTTGTGCGTTTAACGGCAGGGTTACTCTGGTCACAAATGTCCTTCCTGAGTTTGATGATGAGCAGCTGAAAGCATTGTGTAGCGAGCTCTATATGGCAAGCTGGTTCGTCTATCCAGAATGGATTCTCGTCCTTGTTGGCAGGATCAACAAGAAAATCGCGGAACGAGAGATGCAGTATCCTTGTCGGTTCAAATGGACCCGGCGTTTCAAGGACGGAGCGCAGGTGGAAGAGCGTCTCGTTGATTTTGACTTTTTCTTTGCCGAGCAAGGCAGCGAGGCTTTTCGCCGTGAGGGGTTCGGATAGGAGAATAAGACTACCGATGACCTCTCGAAATTCTTGGACGGCAGTTTCAACATCATCCTTTGCAACACCAACTAGTAGTTGATTCAACACAGGCATGTAGACCCCATCCAAGGGAGATTTCGAGGGCTTTGTGATGGCCTGCCCTCCTTCCTTCAACAGCTTAGAAAGCTGCTCGCTTGGATTGCTAATCTCCTGGTCTTGAATGAAACGAACGATTGTGTCCGCGTAGATGAAGAGAGGAGACGCCATTGAGACCAGGGCCTTTATTTTATCCTCGCCCGGCCATTCTTTCGAGAGCCTTGCCTCTGCTGTCTCGTTATGCGCCTCTCTGATACGACGAAGCTCATGTGTCAAAAAAGCAGATAGATCACTGTTAATAGCGTCATTTGGGACCGCATGAAGAACAATGTTCTCGTACTGGCCCTGGATCTGCTGGAACCCAAGTTCTGCGGGCCATTCTGGCCTACTGGTGAAGAATGCCTTTATTTGCACTGGACTTGCGCTTGGCCCATTGGCCTCCGCCAAGAGGCGGATGATTGTAGAGACGTCATCCTCACTCTCACACTCGTCCAGCGCGTCAATCACCAAGACAACAGTCCGGGTCTCCTTCGCAACAATCAAGGGCAGCAGAATCAACTTCTCCCACTGCTCACGCAGCGCTCTCCGCGAAATCTCAGGGTCATTGCCCAGCGCGCTAAAGAGCGCATCTCGGTACGCCGGTGACCCATCGGCAAGCTGGCTGGCGATGGTGCCAAAGAAGAGCCCCGCCTTGCGCCTGTCCGTCTCAGTCCTGCTGAAGAAGAAGGTGGCAGCCAGGCGCTCCGGTCCCTGGCCCTGGAGCAGCCTCGCAGCGACAGTCCGCGCAATGGTCGACTTGCCGGTGCCGGCCATGCCATTAAGCCAGAAGATGGCCTTGGCCTTCTCGTCGCCGCCGGAGTCGGCGTTAACGTCAGCGGCGGCCCATCTTGATACCCGATTGAGGAGATCAACCCGAGTGCCTGCTAGACACCCGCGGGCACTGGCGCAAAAGTCGAATGCTGCGCCCTTGGCGGTCGGGAGGCGATCATCGTGGAAATACTCCTGGCCGGAGACAATGGAAGGGGCCAGGGAGGGCGGGGATTCGGTCATGGGCAATGGCTTGGATTGGTGCCCGAATCATGTGCACCGGTCGATACAATCTGTCTTGTAGTTTACTTGTTCGCGACGTGGCCGAGTACCTACCCAAAGTAAGCGCGGGGTGGAACAGTTAAAGATGTTCCTGGGAACTTCAGAGACACCAACACGCCATGGGCTGGTTGCACTTGGTTAAAATTGGAAATGTGAGATGGCAGAGCTCGTGCATTATGATGGATTTGATGACAGGGGTTGTCCCAGCTCAGCCTCATCCAACCCAAGACTTTTGCCGCCCAACACAGGTCTTTTCTTAGGCAAATCCTCCAGTGCGCAGCCTCATCATATCATTATGGCTGTCGCCTGGCTCAGAACATGGCACGACCTAAAGGTGAGTTTCCTTACAAGAGTCCCTCCTTTACATTGATCACGAACAACAGCATAGCGAGGTTGTCTTGGGCTTATATGAATGGTATGTCACGGGAAAAGAGAGCATTCATCCTACGAACACCAGCCACAAATTTATCAAAGCACAAGCCCAATTTGGATACGCATTAATCGGCCAGCAAGAATGATCCAAGCAGCTGGACCACTGTAAGAGGCCTGCCTGTGGCTAAATATGTCCCCTAATTTCGGTGTTTCAGCATGAATTTTTGGCGTAATTGGTGGATATCGATCATATTTATAGTACCCCGTAATCACCAACGGCTTGGGCCGACGGCTTGTTGCTAATGAGGGGAGGTCTAAGCTTTGTTGGCATCCACGGGGAGGCTAAACTTTGCTCAGAACCTCGTGCTCGGGTGAAATATCGCCCCTGGAACTACATAATTAACATTAAGTAAATGAGAGATTGGTGTTGGCATCCGGACCTAGCAGTTGGAGCCACCAAGGTGCCATGCCAGTCAAGAGCACGCAGTTGGTCAATAAATACCCCATAGCCCGCAAATTCATATCCTTGCTTTCAACGCCGTTTATGCACTCCAACTACCGGCAATAGCAGAAATATTATCCGATAGGGTTTAGTTTACGGGAACTAAGTCATGGCGGCGAGGCAACTTCGTGACTGCAGTTGTGAAGTTAAAGTTGGAAAAGCTTCGATTAAGCTCTCGGGATGACTCTTGGTTTTTTTTTTTTTTTTTTTTTTTTTTTTGACATAACTTTGTCAGGCGCCCAAGTCGCATGTAACCCAAAAGAAAATTTGTTCTAGCTATTTAGGTCATCCCAGCTTTTGCCTTTCATACACTAAAATGGGGTGAGGTGTGTAGAGAATCACGAGACGGCAACAAAACTTGTTTGTGGAGTCGACGCGCCCGTTAGGCGTGAGGCAGTTCAGAGGAACATTGGAAGACAGTCCTACTAAATAGCATAATCAATACTAAAAGCAGCATAAACTACCTAAGGCTACACTATGGCTCTCAATCAAACTGAAGCAATGGAACATTTTCATAGAGAATATCATTACAGGGCAGAGGAGGTATAGGGTAGATAGAGAATTAACCTTGGCCTGCAACTAGCTCTAGCGCGTCATTGGCAGGTGATTTCCGCATTTCGGCACTTTTGTGTCAACTTCGCCTTGTTTAGAAGTCTTGTGTTCCATTCGTAAGAAAGGAGGCCGTGAAGCTGTGTGACATAGCGGGTAGGTATCCAACTAACGTGCCACCATTTCCCAATTGCCCGGGCTAGGCTCCTATTTTCAGGGATTGTCCACTTGCTCATTTTGTGAAATTGGCCCTATGACCATCTGTTTCGAGTCCATGACGTAGTTGGGGGGTACTTGGGACAAAGAAGCATCATCATTTTGCGCACCTTTGCTTTGATTTTATGACCCGAGAATAATGAGATCTTGAGGATCTCCTGTGCCGCTTCCGCCCCCATGTTCATTTCCACCATCAAATCCTCTGCTAGGGAGCTCTGTATGGTAAGATCTACTCATTAGGGCTCGGGCCGTGGTTCCTGGTCGCTATAGCGGGCCGTGATAACGACTAAATTAGCACCCTCTTAGCTCGAGATGCGGTTCGGGAGGTGAACGTCTTGCGCGATACCTCCCTGGCAATAGGCATCTTACAATTTTGATGTGTTGGGATCGAACCGGGGGCGAGCTTTGACACGAACGAACTCGTTGAAAGGAATGGGAATATCGGAGGAAGTGGTCATTTTCCATAGAATCCTGTCTTTAGTTGAGATGTTCTTGGCCTAACCTTCATTGAGTTGAGATGTTTCTGGCATCTTCCATTGCATTTTTTTACTTTGCCCTCGAATTCTCATCCGTACTTGGCCTAACAACATTATTCTTCCCTTGAGCTGTTCTAATTTTTTACAAAGCGATGCAGGGGGGATTTGCAGAAAGGTATGCCAGCCACTTTGATCTCGCTTCTCCTGTTGCACGGGAGGAACAGGATTGAAATTAGAATGAGGTGATTTTAGGGGGCGTATTTGATTTGGGGATTGAATATATTCCTTCGAATCGATCCAACACGTTTGTGCTGAACCGAAAGGGTTGGCGAAATCAACATCGTGCCCCTGCAGCGTATCATGCACTGGACGATGAACGACGGCGGACACGTGCATGCATGCAGGCAGACAAAAATCGCCAGGCTCCTCCCATTGGGGGCCGGCGAGTGAGTAATTGACTGATTTGTCTGCCACGGCTGGATGATGCGCCACACTCCCAGGCAGCAGAGTCTCTTTTAGGACCTTCGTTCAAGGCACCACATCCCACTCAGCCGTTCTGGGCGCGGCCGATTCGACTTGTCTCGTCCGAAATGCAGATACGATGCACCGGGAGAGGAACGTCGCATGCTGATGCTGCCGTTACATGGCAGACTCGTGGCGCGTGCCTGGATTTTTGGCCGTTACAACCCCTGTTACTCCAATCTCGATGTTGTGCCCAGGGGACACAGATGAGCGCCCAGCTACGACCTTCTTCAAAGCTGAGTGCGCACGATTGACGGATGACCCGCCGCGAAGGGACCGTCTCAGGGAAGATGTGTGTCTTGTGCCGTCTCCGATTGGTAGACGCTCTCAGCTCCACGAGGCTGATTCACGTTTTTCAGCTGCAGTCAGCGAGTCCTTGCCCACGAACCGGAGAAAAAACGCCCTCAAGGACGGGTCACAGGGGCCTTAGCCGATTAGGTGGGATCAAAACATAGCTGAATGTGAGCTGATGATGAAAGATATGGCCAAGTTTTTTCCCATCCCCGAGCTGCGCAGAGTGTTCCAGACCTGGCAACTTGGGCGAGTGTTTGTTGGTACCCTGACATCGCCCACTTTTGCTGAAAATCACTCCCCTGATCTGATCCTACCCGCGGGGTAATATTATTGAATATTCGCACCATTGGAATGTGCCAGCCCACTTATCGTATCCAGCAAGGCAGAAAAGGACGTCGCCAAGATTGGACGCACAGCCTTCCCAAAACAGGTCTCAAAAGACCCAATGGGGCGGAAGATGAGACTGGATGGATGTAAAGCAAAATCGACCAATCTGTCACCCACAGCGGCCGGCCATGGGGATCCGGCAGCCCCCGTGGATCTTATTTATGAGACTGTGTCTCTCAACGGACCCCTGGATGATGTCAACCCATTCCGTCAGACGACACGCGCCGCGGAGGAAGCCGTTACTCCGCCTAGGGCTGAAAATCAGTGAGTCAAGCTGAAAGGGCATGGAGAGCCACGTGGAGAAAAAGGTCTAGATTGGGTCGCATCCCAGCCCAGGCAGGGAATTAAATCAATGTTTGATCCCAGAGACGGGATGGTGTTGGACCATTGGATCTCTAGCCTCGCCAAGTGACTGAGATTTGTTCAATCGGCCAATGGAATCCCTGTAGAAGCCTTCGACATGCGAGCTGGCTGACAGACGGACGGACCCGGGATCTATCCCAGTCCCTCTCGTTCTTGTTCGCAACGCTAGAGTTGGGTCGTGATTTGGATCATGACGGGGGCTGTGCCGGATTGGATCCGTCAGATTTAGCCCCCGTCTGCCCCCAGGGACTTCCATACGAGGTGAATATGCACCCTAGCGGGATCTTAAGCGTAGTTAATGAGATTATTGGTGGTGCGTCTGTGCTGTGATCACCGTCGGGGTATGCTTTTCACATTGCCACCCTTGGGGTGCTTCACACCCTTTTCTATTTAGAGAGATCGGGACAGGACCATTATCCTGGTATCCAGCTGGTGGGAGTGAAGATGTGTCACACTTCCTCACGGCCGCTGGCTAATGAGGAGTCGCCATTGCGTTGCCATGGGCTCGATTGAATCCATAATGTCCGGGCATGCCATATCTCTGCCTGGAATCAGCTCTCTCGTGTGGTTGCCTTATCACACTGTGACGCACCGCAGATGCCTCACCGGCACCGTCCCGTCTCTTGGCGGCTGAGAGATGCCTGCATACCTGCCCCCAACTTGTCTTGCCCAGTCATTGAGGGTGGTCACCTGGATAGCCGCGCCTTGATGCCTTTCTGGCCGTGAGCCAATCATTGGCCCTGCGCTTAGTTCTGTACCCAGACGTCGGGCGTCCTACGTCTATTATTGGAGACGACCAAGTCCTGGGGATTTGGCGTTGACCACATTTGGCTGGTCTGCCCGAGCCACGAGGCTCAGCTTAAAGTGAAGCAATGGAACTGTTCTTTTCTCGTGAAGAATTATCTATATTATACCCCATAGCTCTCCCATCTCTACAATTTGTCGACCACTTCATCTCAACATCTTCTTCCCAACACTGTTAACAAACAAACATCTACATCAACCCACACTCATACAAACTCGACGTTAGCAATCTTAGTAGCTGCTATGCTTGTTCAACTACTGTCAAACGCCCTGGTTTGGGCTTGCAATACTTCACTCATATTCTTTGTCCTACCAATTATTCTTCTATTAGTTTGGCGTCTCTGGAAGTTTACGGTGAGACCTTGGCTAAGGCCTCTCGAGCCTAAAGAAATTCCATATTGGGTTCCCTGTAAGTTCTTCATGTGATCATATTCTTTTCTGAGCTACGCTAATCTAATAATAGTTCTTGGTATGTCTTACTATTTCGTTATGGAACAAACATCACGCTCATACTGTCTCAGGTCACACCATCGGTTTTCTACGCAGCTCTGATAAGCTCATCGAATACGGATTGTAAGTTTATCTAGTGGCACACAGAGTAAGACAAAAGTCTAATTCATTTGATAGGAAGTATACTGGAAACAACCACGAGGTCTTTGGCGTACAAACCGTTGACCGAAAACTATATATTGTCACCGACCCACAAGATGTCTCAGCCGTGTTCAGGGACACCGCCTCGCTGGGATTTGACGGTTATCTGAATGAGCTTCTTATCAGCTTTGGCTTTACTAAAGAGGCCATCAAGAAGATCTGGCACAAGCCATCAGATGATGATGAAAAGATGGTCAGCGAGACCATCAACCCAGAAAGGATGAACTTTATCCATCTGGCCGAGGACATCTTCAAGAGACAGCTTCTCCAAGGAGAAAAGATGGATAGAATTCGAGATGATATCATGAACACACTGCATCAGTCTATCCAATGGAGGCAGTTGGACTTCTGCACAAAATCTTTCAACGGGAACGGGAGACAAATCTCACTCTACTCCCTTTGTCGCTTCACGATGGTCGAGGCGGCTACAAGATCACTATTCGGATCACACTTACACAACCTGAACCCGGATATTGTCGAGAACATGCTGAGCTTCGGTGATCATGCTTGGCAAGTCATCTTTCGACTTCCAACCTTCTTGAATCTCGATGTCACAGCACCACGGAAGAAGCTCATGGATGCGCTGCGCGTGTTTGTCCAGCTCCCCGAAAGCCAGAGATCAGAACAGGCTTGGGCTATCAAGAATGTCCTGGACGCCTCGGATTCATTCGATATCGATTTCGAGTCACGTGCATGTGTTATACTCCTCATGTACTGGGCGTGAGTTGATAAATCCTTTCACACAATCTTTTACCTACAGAGCTGACCGATACTTGCTTAGTGCCAACGCAAATGAACACAACATTGCTTTCTGGGTGATTGCCCACATTCTATATGATGAAAATCTGCTGGAGTTGGTCAAGAGGGAGACGGAAGCCGCCTGGCCAAATGGCACTCTCGACATCAACTATCTCTCTGCCAACTGTCCCCACCTTGAAGCGGCCTTCAATGAGGCTTTACGTTGCTATGGCGGAGCCGTCATCAGCCGTAAAGTGCTTCGAAAGACAATCATTGGAAACAAGGAACTACAGCCCGGGCATGCAATCATCATGCCTTCCCGTCAACTCCACATGAACGAGAGCGCATGGGGCTATGACGCAAGGGAGTTTGATCACACCCGTTTTCTGAAGAACAAGTCTTTGGATCGCCATCCCGCCTTTCGGCCTTTTGGAGGCGGTGTGACTTACTGCCCCGGCCGCGTGTTGGCCAAGCAGCAGGTCTATGGTATGGTGGCTATTCTCTTCCGCCGCTTTGATATGAGGTTGGCGATGAGCGGCAACGGGATGAAGTCCCAGTTTCCTAAGCTTGACGATACCACGCCCCGGCTTGGTATTGCTGACCCCGCCAAGGGGATGGATGTTCTTGTTGATATGTGGGAGAAATGATCTATTTCACTGTCTTGATGTGGGGCGATGGTGTTTCACGTCTATCTTTCCTTTCGATTTTAATTATTATTAGCAAGCGTTGTGTTACGAGGAATTTACGTTTCAGATTATGGATTGATACTTGAAGTTGGATTGCAGATACTTGCTATTTCCCCTATTATTAGCCTTGGATTTAGATCGTCTTGCTTTGTTGTTCTTAATTTATTAGACTGTTCACATTTTGATGCATTTGATCAATTTCATTTTTTTGTCAGAGCAGTCGTCGGAAGTGCTATACCCTACTTAGCATAGAAATTATAACAATTTTTCACACGCGTTCCATAGGTCTCAACTTCTGTGTGCAGCTTTTCCTTGCCCGTCGACAAGAGACTACAATTTGACTGTCCTGACAACAATCGTTCTACACCATAACTACGTTGCTTCGTACTGTGCCCTTTTCACTGGCTTGTTAGCAATACCTACCTGGATGTTTATGCTAGTTTTCGGTACGACTTGGTGGACCTAGAGCGGCGTTGACCTATTTCTTATCTTTCCCCACTGCGAACCTGAACATGACTCTGTAACAGGTACTAGGAACTATAAGAAACGGAATCCACTGAGGTTTTAGACGGGATTACGGGAAAGGATTGTCTCAGCTTGACATCTTACTTGGTAAAAAAGAGCTGGTCACCAAGCAATGCCATTTTGCCACGCCAGTCAGCGCTACAGGCAAAAAGTGTGGTTTCGCCCGGGCTCGAACCGGGGACCGTCTCGGCGCAATCGGATGATTGTTAGCGAGAAATCATGACCAACTAGACCACGAAACCATGTGATTGCTTGTTCATGAAAGTCGGCCTTGACAGTCTCAGCTAAGTTTGGCTCCAGGCTGCGGCTGAACAACATAACATCTGCTATCTCTCAAGGCTTGATAGAGTGTACTGATGATCCAGCCTAGATAGCCGAGGCTGGATAACTAATTGGGAAACTACTCTTTTTGGGCAATTTGTTCTATGTGATAAGAATGTCCCATCATTCGACTTCGTTTGTGATAATGAGGAGAAGTTTCAAAGAACAATCAATTCAGCGGAGATTTCTCCTACCTGTTTCTCAGTAAAAGATTTCGTATCACTATGCTTAGGAGATATTCTGGGTCACCACATTCAGGCTAGTATTCACACCTCTTCATTCTTAACGTTCTTCAGGGAAAGAAGTAGGGAGCGTGGGATCTTCCTAGGCAAAGATTTAAAAGGTTCATCATAAAATAGAGCAGAGTACTCTGAGGTGTATATAATAGCAATTTCCTCATTGCACAATCTCCGATGTCCACGTCCATTTTGAGGTTAAGGTCAATATATCAATACATCCAGGTGCTGCGGGATGGGCCATGTCTTTGCGTTGGTCGACTAGAGTTTTCTGTGTCAATAAGGCATTGAGAAAGCTGTCAGAGCACATCATTAAAGTAGTAATACACCTGAGTGCTGAAGAATATGCATTCTAGTAAAAATGTAGGTTTGTCTTGCCGCCATTTCCCCGTGCTGTACCCATCTGCCCCTCCGCATTCGGTTCACCATATCTCTGAAATCTGGTTTATTTTTGGTGGAATGGAATCTGCTTAGTATTTTCAGGCTATATACAAATTTCTCAAATATACACTGTTAATGCTTGTGTCTGGATGTTTCTTCTCTGCTAGACACTATTTTATTCTCTACCTCCTAGACGCTATTTGCTTTATACTTCCCTTCAAACCATTATACGAATATAGGACGCTAAAGGGTTATCTATGTACATATGAGCTTACGGATAGCTCTACAGAGAAGAAGGAAAGGGAACATAGAGAAAAGAAGCAAAGCAATACATTTAAACGAGGCCTAAGACAAACCCTTCGGGTTATGTCAAACACCAATAAAAACATCAGCAACTACACCTCTCAGTCACCTCGATGTTGTCGCGTAATTGACGATATGTACTCTTATGTACACTTTCACGATGAGGTGCTTGACATCAAAATGAAATGATAAGCGAATATGAGTCATAGAAGAACAAAACTGAATAGATATGCAGTCAGCATTGGTTCTCCTAGCCCAATATGGATATATTCTCTGCTACATGGTGCGAAGTCATGGTGGGTCACGAGGATGCAAGTCAGCATCGCACCCATCCTCGTATCTACGTAGCATGAATGATAGCTGCATATTCGTCAAGCTCTGATTTGACGAGATAAGTGACAGAGCACACGACCATGGAGGGAAATCAACTCCGACTCCCGTTTCGTATTGTTGGCTCTTGGACATTCAAAGTACAGTTCGAAGTATATCGCCTCAAGAAATGCGAGTAAGCTGCTTGATTAGACGTTAGATCTCAGCTTTTACGGAATATTAAAATTGACTTTTCTATTTGCATAAACAAGGTTCTGCTTCTTGAAAAAGTGCAATTGCCCTTTGCGAAAAGGGTACTTATATTGTTTTCTCTTCGCTCACAGGCATTATGCCCAGGGAAGGGATATCCTAATCTCACCTTCGTGGTACTTGTTTTCTGTACCATAGAAGGGACTTTCCAGGTCTCCCAATCTCCACGTATATACTACAATGAGCTCTAAATATGGCATATTCTGCTGTCTGTTGTGTGCAACAACGACGAGAATATCTGTTCTGAGGCCTCTTTGAGAAATTTGGGCCATCCTCGGCATTCCTCTTAATCGTAGTTTTAACCACAGCCTCCAAATATCTCAATGGAAGTGTCTGGATGTGTAACTCAAAGTGCTGTTGTTCCCAGTTTTGTCGTATGGCTTCTGCGCCGCACAGATATCCCTCGTCTCTAGGGGACTTTGCGTGTCAATAGATCATACGTGGTTTATCTATGGAAGCTAAACTACATATTTGACTACAATACGCATATATCTTAATGGTATGGTAATATATATATCCCCATGCGCTCGATTGAATTTACCTTGGGGTTGCACAATGAAGATAGGAAGAGCTGAAGAGAACCTACCCTGGGATCTTCTGGATATGTCATCCTAATAAAAGTTGATTAGTGACAAGGCCACTAATTGCAAATCCTCTCTGCCAGAACGAAGTTTGTTTCATATGTGCTTTTGAGGTTACCTAAGAGAAAGAGAATAAAGTTTAACAGCAATGGAAGCTGCCAGAGCCCGACAACTCAACACAATGCTTTTGAGGTTATAATTTGGGCTTTTCCGCCGTCAAGGGTATTAGTCCTGGTCTTCTGTGTGGAGTACTCCTCCCAATGTGCTCTGTCCTGTATTCACCGTGAGCAGAGGAACAATATAACAGATACCAATTAATAACAGCCAAGAGTGGTTTTGCATATATTTGGTTGCTAAATATAAGCCCATTATACAGAGAAGTATTGATTCAACAACGACTTCGGTTCGATCGTGCGTCAGAAGGATTCCTAATATCGAATCAGGAAGGTTACGGTCCACATCAACCCCACCATCAGCGTCACATTGCATGCCAGATGGCACGTATTGGGTGAATAAGATTGCATGAATAATTTTTCCTCGCTTGCATGACGACGTATCAGAAGCATTTGGCTTGGGGGCCAATCGTAACCAAGGCTTAATACCACCCCACCTCCATTGAGGACGTAGCTCCGTCCTGCCCAGGCGTGACGGCTGGAACTTCATGCATCCTTTTTTGGTAACGCGTTGATATGATAATTCAGGCGGTAAGTTACATCTACGGCAAATTCTTTTCATTTGAGACATCGGCCTCCCTGAAGAATGCTATAATTGATCATGATAGCGCGACGTGGGCTAATTCCCGAAACCCTCCTCAGCAGCAAGCCAGATAGAACTGAACTCACGAGGGGTGTATGAAACCATCTTAAAAATCAGAAACCGGTAGTATCTTATATAAACATAATTATTTCGCCCAAAAACGCCATCAAAGCCGGTGTTTTGGCGTGTCCACTGCCGTGACATCGCCAAAACCTGAAACAGGTTTAAGAATATCTAGGATCAGTCCAAACGCGAACTATGATCGACGAGCCGATCAATCCTTCGCTTGGCTTCATCCACAGCTCCTTCCCGATCGCTCGCTAGACTTCCTTTCAAGCAAAAATAGTCCAAACCGAAATCCAACCCAAAGCTGTCCTCTCACCTTTTCTCCGACTGCTTTGAGATGATCGAGACGCCTAGGCTTCAGATGTTGTCTACCGCATGTAACTCGGCATTATTGATATGCGTGCCAATTGAAGATATTCAGTCGTAGCTTCTAGCTTCTGCCGCTTTGAAAATAGTCCAAGCGTCCCGGGTATATGCACGAGTGCACGCTTGACATGCGCCGCAAGCGCGACAGCTACGTTTAACCCAGCTTCCGCTTAACGGGTTGAACACCTGCTTAGGACTTCGAAACCCGAAAGGCCCCGTTTCGAGGTAGTATTTGTCGGGCATAACCGGAAAGACGGGTTGCTGGTGGTTTGACAGTTGGGTATTGGTGAGCGTATGGATCTTGACACCCCGTTCATGTCCTACTCTTATCGCTTTTCGGAATGCGATAGTGGTCCTTGGCTCTAGTGAATGAATTTCGACGTCGTCGATATAAATGTCGGTCAGGCTAGTGTACTTTCCTGATTCTATCATGGCTACCAAGCCATCCTCAAGGTAGTCTAATTTGTTTGTGGTGTATGAGACGTTCGCTTTGGTACTGCAAAAGGCCAGCGCGGATATGCTTGTGGGGAAGGCCTCTATAAATTTCTGGACCAAGCTCGGATAATTTGGATCTTTTCTGTTCAACGAGACCTCGCGGCTCCAGGTTGTATTTGGTGTCCAGGTTGGTGTAGGGATCATATCCTCTAGGCAGACGCTTACTATCTGCAGATGATTAAAGTTGTTTAATTCTGGCGGCCAGTAGAGCTGGTACCGAGGGTCTCCATCTATGTGCTCTTTTTCATAGACGACCAGATCCCGAAGTGAGCGATTCTGATGCTTGGAGAGAGCGGTGACGATCGTAACAAATTGGTCGAACCTGGTGTGGGGATGATCATATGTTGGTCGG